ACTATTCAACCAGGAGCCCAGCCTTAGTTTGCACAGCACTCAATAACCTGCTAAATTTGCAGAGTGCAAGATTCAAGACCATTATATACTCCATCAGGACAACACACAGAGCAGCACAAAGATCAGTCACTCTTGGACACAGGCAGAGGAAAAGCACAAGTGTACTTACCAAATATATTGGCTGCTGCTATGCTAATAAAGCAACAGAGGGTGCAAAATGGGATGGAGCCCATCTTGCAATGGGGGAGCCCCATCCCCTTCTGTCCTGAGGCAGCTCTGTGCACCCCACAGAGCTTTTGCTGCCCTTTTATAGTGCCCATCATGGGGATGGGCTCGCTTCAGTGCTGCTGGCTGGGCACAGAATGGGGTGAGTGACGCACACGAGGCTTCTGAGCAAACTCAAGAGGCCCCTTGAGCTGGAGCTGCCCTCCTGGCTGCCCTCAGGCAGCTCTCATCCCTGCTCCAGGGAGCACAGCTGAGCCAAGGGCCAACAGGCACAGGGGGTGGCAGGGGGCTCACTTATTCCAACAAGTTAATTGAGGATGTTGGAGTGACCCTGGGCAGAGCCCTGGCTCTCACCTGCCCCAGGGTGCAGCCAGGCTCTGTGCTCCCTAGGGAATTACACATTTTTGTATTCCCAGAGAGCTGAGCCTGCTGAGGGACAGACCAGAATGAGACCTCTGGGTGCTGCACATCAGGGCTGAATATAACTCATAATGTGGTTTTTTACTAAGTGAAAAACAGGATGGATGCACTCACTGGCTAAAGTGAATTAAGGATCAGAGTCAATTACACTCTATCTTTTGTTTTCACTCCCACTTGCACCATGCACTTTAACTCAGCTAAGTATCTGACAGGCACAGCTTCACTCCTTGGGCTTCATCCTCCAGCTGTAAGTCAGTATTACCGTGAAGCTTCTCAAGTTAATCTTTTTGGTACTAATTACATGCAAGATCCTCAACATAAAATATATGAGAAATATGTCCTTGGTTCCAGAATTTCATTTGTTAATTGGCCACCTCTTGTAACTGTGAGTCAGCATTTACTTGCACCAGGAATTATGAGAACTCACCCTCACTTGTAACAAAGGTGGTTGGATAAATAAGCCCTAAATCATTACTTAAATAATAACAGCACATGTTTGAAGCCGGATTTAACTTGATTTCAAGAAAAAGTGAGAGCAGCACTCCTGTTTGTGATTCATGGGTGGGTACTAGACAGCCTAGAAACAACTCTGCTGATACTGTCCCACAGACTCAGATCATGACAGCAGTGATCCAAGCATCCGTCTGTGCTGGCTGTAGACCACTGCCATGCCACAGTGTTTGATGGATATGGTAAATATGATCTCCAAGAGCAGCACAAGCTTGCTTTAGCATGACTAGGCTTTTAAAAATAAGTGGAACTGTATTAAGTCTAGAATAAGTTGCTTGAACGTAAATTCCAAAGTCAACAGTCTACAGGAAGATCAAGGGAAAAAATGAAGAACATGTCCAGCATAGGTGACAGACCAAAAAACGACAACACTTAGTGGCATAAAGATGACAGATCCTGCAAGAGCCCTGATCAAGTAGGCACAGAAAGAAACTGAATTTCTGGATTAGCACAACATTTGTAGGGAAACATCCATGAAGAGCTAAAGAATCAGATTAAATAACCACTATTAGCACCAGCATGGCTAAATCAGGAAAGAAGAAAAGTCAGACCATTACATGCATTTCTGACCCAAGGGAGCCCCAAGGTTTGTGTCTGAGCCCCACACAGTGGGGCAGACACAGGAGAGCAGCAAGAGAGAGCCCAGCCCAGTGCCACAGACAGGCTCTGCAGGGGCAGCAGCTCCCTGCTGGCAGGTCCTGTGATGTGTCCAAACCAATGAAACATCTCCAGAGTGTGTTGGGGTCTGTGTGTGATACTGATTTAGCCAACTTTCTAAAGCTGTTAGAAAAGTGTCACTCAGGTTCCTTGCACAGCAAATGGGGAAAGGAGCTTATTAAGGTCGCTACTCACTTTCCTTCCTTATTCTTTGCTATAAAAAGCTGATAATGGAGGAAGGCAGACAGGAAAGCACAAAGTATCAAGGGGCTTTTTTTATCAGGAAGAAGCACAAACTCACAATATCTATGTATTGCTGATTCCCAAGATGATGTTTATTTCCTTTAGAAACACTCAAAAACAATCTATGAACTACTCAAGTTGGAAAGAATAGCCAAGTCTTAAAAGTCTCTTAAAAAACTAAATGAGAAAAGGAATTTTGGCAATTGGCATCACTCAAACCACTTCTAGATGTGCGTCAAACCAAGGTGGACATCTTGGTACATGAACGCTCAAGGGGATGCAAGAGCCCATGGATTAAAAAGGAAAAAATTTGTTTACAAAGCAATGTGTGGAATTCACATTCATCAGAGCAGAAGAGGCACTTGTCTATCTATGGCTGGTCAAGTAAGAAAAGCTTCGCATAACCTTCAGTGAAAGGACAATGGTATTGACCTCTATTTTTAGCACCTGAGAAAAGATGGAGTAACATCTTAATTTAGCTCACCAATGAAAAGCAGAAAATAAGTGGAAAAGGTCCCTGTGGCCAATAAGGCCTTCAACTGTCATGTCTTCAAAATCATTGCTCTAGTGCTGGAAATGAGGGTTTTGTTTTGTTGTGGCAAAAAGCTGGTAAAAGCTACTCAACTTATACTACAAACTACAACTGCTGGGGTAAAGATGAAGGTCAGTGGGATGAGACACTGAAATCACAAACCTCAAAGAAGAAGAAGACATTTATTCATTGTTCCAGTTTTGCATACACTTTCTTAGCGGAAGAGACAGTTTGTGCAACTGCAATTTTACATATTGAAAGGCCCAGGGATAAAAGAGTCCTGTATATAAATACACAGACATCTGTACCCACAGAAAAGTTACTCTTACCCCAATCAAATTTGAGCCTGAAAAGTCAACCTTAGTTTAAAAAAAGAACTGGAGGGAGCTTCTTAAATGAGGCAGCAAATTGGAAGCAAAAGTGTTAAGAAAACATTGTGAAATTATGCTTACATCAACCAGTTCATTAATTTCACACAATAAATTGCTTTTCTGTGTTAAATAAAGTACCAATGTTGGACAAGCCTCTCACACATCTTAAGAAAGCTACATAAAAAAAGGTTAACATCATCTGTTACACTTAGATAGAGAACTAAGGTTTACATTCAGCACATTTCCTTCCAAGACCTTGTGAAGCACGAATCTCAATTGATTAAGACCTCATGTGATGCAAAAGTAAAAGACTACAGGATGATAGCCCCAGATAATGCACTTTTCAGTGTGTTCACTTTATACGTGACATATTCTTCAAATTTAAAGAATAATAGGGAAGTTTCAGTCATTCCCATACTAAACTTGGCTAGATCAGAAAAGTGGGCACAGGGCTTGTCAAATCTTAAATATAACTTACCATTTGGAAAAGTGCCTTTGGTGACACAACCTAAAGAAGCCCATGTAAGAATATTTGAATTTGCATTTGTCCCTGCAGGAATTGACCATTTCTAGGACAAATAAAATGCCTTTTTTTTCCTTACTTATTTAATGAAAATAACAGTTTTCCTCTATCCAATAATACCACAGTGATTCCAGGTAGAAAAATAGGTATTTTATTCTCACAACACCAGGGATGCAGATTGGTTTGAAACCAGAAATAGGAGCCAGGTCTGCAACCACAGCGACACACAGGATTTGCAACTTGAATCAATTCACTATTTGACAAAAACAAAAGCTGAGGCAGTGAGAAAAGTCCCCACCAGCCACAGAAGGACAGCAACAGGGTGCCAAACCCTTGGTGTTGGTGGGACAAAACTGCTTTGGGTCGTTTCAATAATGCAATATCTAACCTTCTCTGAACTAAAGGCAATGGTGCAGAGCCAGTGGAGTCAGAAAGGAAGTTCAAGGACAAACACAGCTCCTGACACACAACAAAGCTGTGAATTCCAAAAGCCACCAATGAAAAAGATGGATTAAACTTGAGGAACCCATCTCTGTGAAGTGACTGATAAAACTAATGGACTAAAAAATTTTGGTAAAGGAACCCTGTTTGCCAGAAGTGAAAGATGCATTCAGGAAAAGCAATTTGCACAGATATTCCATAGTATGTTTGTACAGATCTGATACCCTATTTCTACTGCAGACAAGACTCTGGGCTGGCCAGATGGTTGGTTTGACTCAGGAGAACTCTTCTTCAGAAAGTCTGCTAATTCAAAAATTGTTTCAGTATGTTGCTTCAAGCCTGAATCTGGTCTTGTATCTTAAGTTTGAGAGCCCGCTTTGAGATTGTCCCTTCAACAATGATTAAAATGTTTCAGAATTAAAATTTCTAAGTTCATTATTTATTATCCTATCTACTTTTTCTGGGAATGAAAAAATTTTTCTATGTCAGTAACTGACTGAGATTCTGCTCAATTTCATTTATCTGCTGCTTATCATATGTGCTCTTGTCCACAGGATGTCTAAGAACTTGCTCAGCATTGTTGGCTCATTTGTTTTCTACCACAGTAAAGTCTTGAACAACTTGTGGATGATATTAAAATAAATGACTAAAAGCAAATTAAAGTTACTTTGTAATGACATTGTACAAAGGCACATGTCTGCCCACAAGAAGAGATGCCATCACTGTGAATACATTGTTGAAAGACATTGACTGTAAAGAATAAAGTGCATTGCAAAACTCAAACCCTGAAATTGTTAAAACACCAAAACAGTCCAAGAACAGAAATATCTTCTAATTACTTTGCACATAAAGTAATTCAGTACTGTGAATACTTTACTGATTATATCATTTGCCTACAGGCTAAAATACAACTGAAGATTCCCTCAAGCCTTGCAATGTAGAAAGGTGAGTATCAATGGCTGCACATAACCTAAGGACTACAGGCTAAACATGCAACTGAAGATTCCCTAATGCTTTAAAACATATGCAATCACTAGCTCACCAGAAGAGAAGTCCATGGAAAGGGAGCCCAGGCACGTAACAATCTCAACAGACCTTTATTGTGAGTATTAGAATGCAGTCAACATTATTGCTATTATAAAAAACAAATCACAGAAGGAAGTATTTTGCTTCTCTCACAGAAGATTTAATCATAGTGCAGTGCTGCCTCTCTCAGAGTCTTTAGTGACAATACACTGATGCACGTGGCTACAGCTGAACACAGGAGGCTTGGCCAGTTTTCAGGAAAGGAAGACAGCTGTTTGAAGCAAACAGCAATTGAACTAGCTTTAGTTATCCCACCCACAGAGTAAGGGAAGGGAACTTTTGTCCTGAATCATTTTTCATGCTAGTTCATTTTCTCCATGTGGTCTCCAATTTTTCATTTGGGTTGTTCAGGCTGGTGCAGAATGGCTGCCAAATGCACAGTCTGCACTTGGTGCAGTGTATTTTCACCATTGTTACATGCTCTGTATTTGTTTTCCATATACAAACAGATATACACATAGTGTATAAAATTTATTGCTAAAGACAGACCCCCACACCCAGTGCCCAGGACATAACAAAGTATAATAGAAACCATTACTGAAGCATTTCAAACAGCCTCTGCAAAATCCTCACCTAAAGCCATATGCAATCAGTACAACAGAAAAAAAATTGTGAGCTAATAAAATGTGAGAATAGCAATGGGTATTTCAAAAGTGATTTAAGCCTCTGACTTCATTAAGCACTCCAAAATTAAGGTGCATATACGGAAACATTTTTAAGCAGTAGAGCAAAAACCTATAGTTCCAGTGTTCTAAACAATCCTGCTTGCAAACGAATGGCATCATTGCACACACCCCCTTTACACACCAGCACCTCCTCAGAGCTACTAACAGGGCAAAGGCAGCTGGGACAGCCTGACTGCTCTTTTGGCAGAGTCCTGCCCATCCTCCACTCGCTGATTTTTACACCAAGCTCCAGTTCAGTTCAGGATCTGTTTTGTGCCTTTAGAGTTCCAGTGAAGAAAAATGGTTACAGCTTCCCTTTAAATACAAAGGAAAAATAGTGTGGTTTACAACATCAAATACTTTTATAATTTTACTGTAATGTTTGAATGACTCCTTTGCATCCCAACCCTCAGTTTGGTAGGGAGTGCTGGAGCCCAGCAGTGCCAGAGGGGTTTTGATGTAATATTAATTCAAGTCTAGTTAAGTTAGAAGCCAGATGGGAGTAGAGGAAGGTCCCCAATTGCACAAGACAGAAGAAGCTTACTTAAGAAAGGCATCAAAAAAACCTGGAGTTTTTGATTATGGTGCACAAACTCCAACTGTACACAAGTCCCAGGATGCTCTGGAGGCTGTGGACAGAAGAGCCACAGAGGCCTTTCCCCATGACAGCTTCCCACAGCAGCCAGGAAGAACTGGCCATGAGAACAAAGGAGTGACACCCTCCAGGCACCTCAGAAGCCAGAGTGCAGAAAACTGAAGAATGAAAGGAGAGAAAGATGCAAGCTGCAGAATGAATAATGAACACATGCAGAAGCTCAGAGATAAAATTAAGAGAGACAGGTGGCTGTCAGCCATACAAGATTACTGCACCCATGGAAGAACAGTTTCAATTCTTTGCCACCCAGCAAATACAGGAAATCTATCAGAAAATTGCAACCCATCTTTGTCTATTTGAGAGAAAATGACAGGCTTCTACCACTGTAAACCACTCCACAGCTGAACAAAGATCTATGCATCTAAGGCCAGAATATCCAAAATATGGGCACTATTCAACCTACAGCTACCCAAGCAAAGGGTTAACAGGAAGCATCTTCCAACCCATTCCCTGCAATATGACCTGAAGTACGTCCATTTTGTAACCAATGGCAGCTCCATCATGTCATACCAGATCACAGCACCCACACCACATCTCATTTCTGATTGCAGGACTGCTCTCCTGCCACCACTGCAACTGAAACACAATTCCTGATGTAGATGCCTCTGGTATGGTCACAAGTAGGAGCAGGCTTTGAAATGAAATCACCCTGATACCTCCATTAAAAAAGCAAACAGGCAAACCCCTAACTAAACCTAAGACAAAAAGCTGGGCATTCAAAGGCTCCAGAAGTTTGCCATTTAACTCTGTGAAATCACAAGAGGCTTCTGTAAAATGGCATTTCCCTTTTGTCTATTATTATTCAGAACTCCTATTCAGTGACAGAAGGCTTCAAATTTAAACATTTTGCCTTTCTGTGCACATGTATTAAACAGTCCTTACATTGCCATATACTATTTTTTCCTCACAGAGGGTCTGTCCCCTTCACCAAAACAATGCAGTCACAATTCACACCCCAATAAATGATGTTGCAAATAGGCTGAGTGTACATCCCTGGCTTATTTAGAGAGGAAGCAGGAAGACAGATGGAAAAATATGCCTACAGGAATAAGATTCTCTTGATAAGGCCAACTAGGAAGAAATACTGGTAAGAGCCAGATCACATTGGGATTGACTGGTACACGAGCAAAGCAACCAACTGTAGGCTACATTCTGTGCAAAACACAGCATTTTTATGGCACTTGACTTGTGTTTAAAAGAAAAACCTCAAAAGCATCCCAAACCTTTGAATACTTGAGAGACTGGGGTCAGAAACTAATGTCCACATGTAACAGACCAGCACCACAACTTGAGAAAGCAAACAGAGACAAGTTTGTGAAACATTGGAGCAGGACACGATGTATCATACATAGCATGGTCCTTATGGACACTGAGATTGTATTTCTTAGAAGATATGAATGATTGCAGGAGAGTTTTTATAATACATGACTACACAATGAACATAAAAAAAATACTGAACAGATTGTTTTTGTAAGCACAGTCCATCCTGAACAAGGCAGGATCTTGAGGGGTAAAGTTACATATTTGTGTAAATTAAGAGGCCATTACACATACAAACAGAAGACATATTAAAGCTGCAAGGGCAACTTCAACTTTGACCTTAGGATTTCCTTTTCAGGATACCATTCCTCCATCTCTGTAGTAAGAATAAAACCTCTGTCCTCCCCCCTGAACTTTCCAAGTCCACCTTCACCTTCAGTAACATTTACAATTATATTACATCACACACATGCACACACATTGCATAATATTGCTACAGTGTATGCTGTATAAATTCTGTAAATAGACTCCACTTTGTTTCAAAGTAATTCATCTGGATTTACACTTTTCTTATACAGTACACACAGTACCACATTCAAGGATATGCAGCAAGTGAATAGTCTATAAAAAACGTCTCACATATCCAAAAGCAAGTAGGTCACCCAACTATTCATGTTTGAAGCAGTTATTTAAGCATCATCTATATAACACAGAGTATTTATTAACAGTTGCTAAAAATGTCAACAACTCCACAGCTCTAATGTTCTTTCTGCATTATGGAGTTGCCAACCATTCCATAATTCCATGTTTTCATGCATCTCTGTGATGTCTCCTACAAGCTTGAAGTGGGAAGACTTTTTAAGTAGCAACCACTCTGTAACAGGGCTTTACATTTTGCTTTGGCCATCAGGAGTGATAACTCACTTCAGGTATGACAGACAGAGAGGAAGGTCAGGGTAGGTTTACTTTAGCAATGAACCAGCCACGCTGCTTTCTTTCTCAATAATGGTTTTATCATGAAAGTTCAATGCACTGGTTGCAAAGTCTTTCCCAGATAATCCATCTTTGGCACATTTTTCAGTTGTATGCATCCTTAAAAGGCATTCCAAGATTTTTTGATGGTCTGTACATAATAACAATCACTTCTTTTTTACATTTGTATGTAGATCAGGAAGAAAAGTGGAAAATGTAGAGTATGCAGAATAGTTTTAATAAACAGTTTTACATACAGTACCTTACATATAGAACAGTGTGTTTGCAAATTTAAATAATTTTTGAATGTACAGTGGCTTGTACTCTTATCAAAAGGTAAATTCAAGTTTACTGTCTATCGGTTCTAAAATGCATTTATACAGATAACTAGAACTGATAAACAGACATGAGGCATAAAATGTTCAAGTATCTTAATGTCCTCAGTTAAATAGCCTCCTTTTAACAGTCATATTTTACAAATTTCAAAACCTGTACATACATTATTTTCAATTTTAGAAACTGCTTGTTAAAAGGTAATATGAACCACCAGTTCTTGTAGTCTATGGTAATAAAACTAGACATGTGTAGGTAGAAATGTGTATGGCATGTATATATGTACACACAGCTATGCACATATACATACACACACAGACACTGATGTAGCACTGGGTACAGCGGCAACTTATCAGCACAGGAGAAGTCCTGGGCTCAAAATCCAGCAAGAGCTAACAGAGCAAGTAGGTTGCCTTTGGTTTCATGACATTTCATTCACTGAAGCTGAAAAACTTTGTAAAGACAACTTGGATAAGGTATCTTGTGATTTTTGCCTCTAATGGTTCAGAATTTCCACAGCCACAGACAGTTTTGCTGCTCCTGTCATTCCTCATCCCCACTGAGGATGGTGAAGTTTTCAGAGGGCCAGCATCAGAATAGAGCTACCCAGGACAAAAATTGTACCTTGATTCCTGAACACTGCTATAGAACATAAAAAAATATAAAGTAGATACAATTTTGGATGGACTGCTGGCACCGAGTCGGACTTTGGAAAAAACCTTCACCTAAGTCATAATTAAACTCTCATCCCAGTGATTTTAATATTATTTGGCACATCTGACCACTATTTTCCACTTCTGTTTTAAAGGAGCCTAGGGGTGCTGTTCTAGGGATTTCTATTTAAAAAAATACTTTAAAAGGGAGACCATGACAAGTAATTTTTTCAAAAATCAAAGCTAGTATGTTTGTTTTCCTGAACACTCGTAAGAGAAAGAAAATCTAAAAACCTTCCTTGTAGAGAAGATACAGCTCTCTCTGTATCTATCTTTCACTAGCAAGATAAGAGGATTGCATTCTTAGTCAGCTGAATTCTGCTAATTTAGTAATGTTTGCCAAGGGTTTCAAAATAGTTGCACTGCTCTTCGAAGAGTTTTTGTTTGTTGAATTTTCTTATATCTGGGGATTTATTGTTCAACATGTTAAAATCCTGAGAAACTGACATTTATAAGCACATTATATATAATTTTGAAGCCCAGACATTGAATATTCATATTTTCAATACAACAGATTCCTGACTCTAAACTTCCTCTTTTCTTTCTAAAGCTTCAGCCTATTAATGTAATCAGCAAAGAACCAGATAAATGCTCAGCTTTTTGCTGTCTTCCTGTCAGTCTTGTGGCTAATAAGAAAATTCATTGTAAAGAACCTATTTTTACTTCTATATTCTTCCTTTTGTCATACAGAGCAAAGTGTTGCTATTTGCTGTACTTTTCCCATGTCGATTAAGAGCTGTTTGATGCGTCGCTTGAGCTGAGGCAATCTTGCCAGAGGATCTGGTGGTTCCAGTTCTCCAGTGAAATCAAGCCAGCTCTCTAAAACTACAGAAGGGAAAGGAAGAAGATGATTAGAGTAACTCTTTGAGAAACAGTTTCCATAAAAATCAAACTTTTCTTTCTTACTTTGTCTTTCAAAAAAAGGGAAAATACACTGAGGCTGGGATTTTTATTCAACAGAAGAAATTTTGTTAGGGAAACACCAACTAATCCCATATTTCTCTTGAACAAACCAACCTTCTGATCTGATTGTTGCTGCAAAAAGGTATCTGGGAGTAAATTTTACACTTGGCTCACAATTTACCCTCTCCACACATAAAAGCAACTTCAGTTCATGGTCTACTTTGATAGTTCTGAAACAGAAAATGCAACCCTCAAACACAAGGCTTGCTTCTGTCACTTTAACAGGCTCCTGTGGACAAGGTCCAGATTACAGAATGGTTTTCCAATCTTCAACAAATGTTTTCAAGGAATTTCTCTGCTTGTAGAAACAGAGAAGGGAAAAGGTCAGCCCTATTAGTTTAGAAACACTGAATCTAGGAAAAACAGGGATACTGGAAGTAAAACTGAAAACAGAAATAAGACAACTTTATTTGTTAAAAGATTAATTAAGGAGTCCTAGGATTAGCCTACAAGCTCCCTTAATTACTAGCTTCTATGACTGGCAAGTCACAGACACTTATGTGCTACAATATTCTCATACAATATAATTTCATTCAAGTTTTCCCATGAAGACTGAATTGTCTTCATGAAACCACTTGCTTACTAATAAAAAAGTTGAAGGCACAATAAACACCTTCTTTTTCCCCTACATATTGTCAATTACTAGAACAATCAGGCAAAAACCACTCCAGGTGTAGAAAAAGCCATCAACTTTAGGATTCATATCTGGACAAAGACTGGACAAGTCATCTAAGCTTTCTGAAGTCTGAGTACTTAACCTACTTTATTGGCATTGAAAACTTAAAGAAGGGGGTGGGGAGATCAAGGGTACAAGCTCTGCTTATAAATATGAGACCCAAATTTGAACAGAATACTAAAAAACCCATCCTCAGTGCCTCAGATCACTTGGAACACATTAGTTAAGAGAGATGCTGCTACAGGTACATTAACAATTAATCTGGCAATGCAGTTACCATCAACTTCTTTTTCAATCAGGTCCATTCTGCTGGTGACTTCATTCTGTACATTCTCTATATGGGTGAGGAGATTTAGCTGCCATTGAAGATGTGTGTCCACTTGTTCTTCTGAGCCTTTTCTTTCATTACAAACAAACACAGTGTTTCCTTCAGCAGAATTCTTCATAGGAGCAACAGAAAGAAAAAAATTGCCATTTAAGATTTTTTTTTCTTTGTTTTAATTTCTGGTGTTGATTTCAACATTTGAGTCACATGATAAACTCTGCTGGCTTAGAATTGTACTTCTGTACACACAACAAAAAGCTTACTCAGAAAGCCACATACTATGACACATCAATAGACTAAAATAACAAAATGCAGATTCCACATAAGTAAGCATCTCTCCCTTTTGCCTCATTTTCCTAACACTGAAATTTATCAGTTCAAATACTTTCTTCAATGCAGTAAAACAGATTTTACTTCTGTGCCCTTTTTATATAAATGGTAACTTAAATCATGATGTGCTGAACTGCATGGGTCTACTGCCACCAAAAATGTGCAAAATCCCAAGGTTTGTTTCCATGGAAAACTTTCTACAATGCAGAAGTATCTAAGATGTCAACAGTCACTCTTTTGCACAAATAAGGTGGACATCCTATTTCACAGAATCCCAGAATGAGTCAGCTTGGAAGGGACCACAGTGGATCACCAGGTCCCAGAGGGTCATCTCAGAGCACATGGCACAGGATTGTGTCCAGATGGTTCTGGAGTATCTCCATGAGGGAAGAGACTTCACATCCTCTCTGAGCAATCTGTTCTCTTTGCTGATTAAGACAAAAAACTTCTCTTCCTACCTGCTATTACCCCACCTACCTTCCTGGCACAAGTCTGGGGTAGAACTGAACATGCTTGGGGACAGTTATAGTAACGTGGAGTTATGCAAACATTGTGTCTGAGAAGATTGACTTCTGCAATATAATTAGTACCTTCACAGCATGCCAGAGATAATACACAAGCTCCTAATCTTTCAGTATTTGATGTTTCAGCTACTGAGTGGAAGTAGATCAGATTTAATGAGTTAAAAATACTCAGCATCTCAGGTAATTAGGAGGATTAACAGCTTCCATTTTATATCCACTATGACTTCATATCCAATGAAGTTCCTTCACTATTGAAGATTTTATTTTAAGGACTAGAATGCCAAATAGATGTGCTCACCCAGTGTCAGTTCATGTCAAATGCCAGAGCAAAGAATGATTTTAATTGTATTAATACACTTCTCTGAAGAGCTCAGCTAATTTTCCACACCACATAAGAAAAAAATGGTGTTAGGCCTGCTATTAAAATATTTTTTTCTCCAGTCAAGTATAGAAGAGTGAGAAGAGACATAGAGAAGAAAATAGGAACTGAAGGATTTTAAGTTACAACTTAAGCAAAAAACCCCAACTTTCATTTTAAGACTTGAAATCAATTAAAAAACACTAACCAAACAAATAAAACTCTGACTGACCTGCAGGCAGCTTTATTAGCAACTCAGATGAGTGAGCATTGTTAATATTCATGAAGTTCAATAAAAGAGTTAAAATTATGTATCAGATATAGATTTTATTTGAAAGGTATGAGAGTTTTGATGCCTTTATGATATTTAAAATCCCTTTTCTGAAGGCATCAGGTTTGCTTCCACAGTGTTTTCAGTAATCAAACTTTTTGTAATCTTATGAAAAATATTTCCAGTATAAGTAAGAAATTAACTATTCCTTACAATTTTCAGACCCTCTCCAGAACTACAGGAATGCCACTTTTCCCTTGCTGTGAAAGGATCCAAGTCCATAATTCTAAAAGCAAAATCATCTTTCAGCCTGCTTCAGTAAGATGGAGAAAATTTCAAAGTTAAGGAACTGAATATCTAAATAACATCATAAATGTTGGTTTGTTTTTTTCCTTCTAATGACCTCTATATTTATTTAAATGGCTCCTTGAAAAAAAATCACAAAATCCAACAGATTCTCCTCTAACCTCTGAGATCAATGTAGGTAATCAGGCAGGGATGGCAGGGGAAGGATACAACTCATGGACAAGAAATAACAGGAGATTCAGGTGGGGAAGTCTTGTGCTTTCAGAAGCAAAACCAAGGAAACTAAATACAATTTTAAAGATACTGCATAGCTCAAAAGGGACTTGAAAACAGTTGATCCAAACACTGTTTGTAAGAGAAAGTGAAGTATGTAACAGAACTGCAGATTAGGGTAAGACAAAATGGTATGGAGAACCAGAATATTAAAAGGTTCTGAAGAATGCTAGAAAGGAAAATTCAAAGCCTCAGTCAAACTTTGACAAAGAAAAGAGAAAAGGCACCTTAGAGAGAAGTCAGATCATTTAAAAATGATCCTTCAATGTCAGTTTTAAAGTTCAGACAGGTTTATGGAGAAACCAAGGAGAGCTTTTCCATGCCAATCATGTTTGGGCAGAAGACCTTATTTAGTATCAAGGTGTCTCCAAAGGAAAGAACACTGTTAAACCAAGAAGAGATCTGTTGGGGCCAGTGCCAAACAGAGAGTACCCAGCTTTTTAGATATATGCTTGAATCTCTGAAGGAAATATTAGTTTTGTTAACTGCTCATGCATATTTTCCTTTAATCCTAAATATCTTTATACTATTTATAATGTTTACAATGATGATTTAAACTACTGTTGGAAGGCAAGAGTATTTGACACTGCTGCATGTCTCCTTACTAGAAATCTGAATATAGTTGTGCAGTGTAGCAAATTTAGCAAAGAAACAGGTATTTTTAATTAGAATGAGCCTAAAATTCCCCATTCAGACTATACAGCTTACATGCCACATTTAGAACTAAAATTAAAAAGAAAAAAGATGCATCATACTCATTTCTTCCACACCAGAAACTGTACTTCTAAAGGGGGATGAGTTGGATGATTTATCCTCATACAGATGGTATTGCAGAAAACAGAAAGGTTTGGTTCTCTTTGGTTTTTGCTATGAGAACTGTTCACTAAAACCAGATTAACAAGTTTCAGACCTTTTCCACGAAATAATGGATTAAAACCATTAATGTAAAAATGAGAAAGAGACGTTTAAACAGCAAAATATAATCCTGACTAAAAATGTTTCATTAGAAGAAATATGCAATATAGAAGACTGAAAAGCAGCTGCACATGAGGTGAAATTAGTCGGTCAGTAAATCATTACATGTGAAAGACATTCTAGGTAGCACTGCTATTAGAAGAAGAATACAGTATTATAATAAACGCCATTAAAAAAGCCTTGGTTTCAAAAACAACAACTAAAACCACCTAGCACATGCAGATAACCAAACTGAGAGAAAAAGGGAAACCTGTCCCATTCTCCTCACCTTGTAAAAACCATGTAAATTTTGTTCCAAGACCCTGCATTTTAAGAATGGGGTTTCCTTTCTCTCAAAACATTGGATTGAGAATGATTTTTTAGCACAGGCAATACCTTAAACCATACCTTCTATTTCATACACCAGCTGAAATGAACTTACTTCACTTGGAAAAATTTCAGTGATTCAAGTTTGCTTCTAGTGACTTCTGCTGACTTATTTAATAAATATGTTGACTTACAGCAACAAAGATTTTTAAATACCTGTATGTACTACAGTTTTATCAGATTGAACATACTTTTCCAAATAAAATTTCCCAGATGAAGAATGATACTTACCTGCTCATTCATGCCACCATCTTTAAAAGAATATTGTAAACAGTTTTTATTCTCTGTGTGATATTCCTGATCTTCCTCAAAGCTACTTGTGTCTTCATCATCTGAGCTCATAGGGTCAGTGACTGCTTTGTAGTCATGACTAAAACTCTGTGGTTTTTGGTAACTGTGCTCACTTGTGATGTATGTTTCTTCCATCTTCTGGGGTATACTGGGTGGCTCTTTATGGTTTTGACTATGACACGTCCTTTCAGCTGGATTAACAGCATCCTGCAAAGTCACCAACTTTTTCTCTACCCCAACAGTTCTTTGTTCTTGTTCTTTTCTCATCCCTGAATAAGCCCAGAGATGAAGGTCTGGGTGATGCTTATTTCTGCAACGAAGGGGAGGAAAAAAAGCAAGTTATAGAGAACTTAGTGCACTTAGAGGACAAACTATTAAGCATCCAATTCTCCTAGATATTAACTACCATTATCAAACAAGAGGTATTCCTAGGTCATTCACTAAATTAAGATAAATCTAGAATGTCCCTTTAACACAAAATGTACCCAAAAAATCACCAATTATCCCAATAAACCAGATCTGCTTGGGTGCTGAACACCTAGCTCCTGCTGAAGCTGAGGGTACTGCACATCTTGCACTTAAATTACTTAAAATATTATACAAGAAAGAATTTCAATGTGAGAGAAAAATGCAAATGGAATAATGGTAGTCTTTGCTACCTGAATATATACAGCTGGAAAATAAAGCCTGGAGTGATACCTACTTCAGTATCCCAATCTTCAGCTGCAGTCCATGCAGTATTTCAGTTACCCCATAGACATCTGCCAGTAGATGATGTGTTGACACAATCTTTTTGGCATTAAGATGAGAGTAGTTCTCTTTCAAAAATGATAATCCACACATGTGTCCATTGTTTAGCCAGTCTTTGTCATAGAGATATTTGGCACTCCACCTCTGTCCTGGGGTGAGCAATAAAGAAATTGAGGGACATCTAAAGCCACAGCAGAATTATGTTTACAACTAGAGTGCTATATTTATGTGCTGTACTTGCCTAAATATCTCCTCACTTCCATGAAAGGATGACTCAGGATTTTGCTAATAATATATATGAATTTAGTTTTTATGGATTAAGAAGAAAGTCAAAACTTATGAGAAAGAAAATCAGCCTGAAACCTCTAAATAGCATTTGAAATTAAAATCTAATCACCTTTGCAATCAAACTATATGATATTAAGATCTATGCTGTTATCAAAATAAAAATCACCAAAAAAAATTTACATTGACATTTTATTTATCTAAGTAGTTCAACTTACTTTTTTTTTTTTTAAAAAAAAAAGAAAGCCTAAGTTACCAAGAGAAATATTAGAGTGGATTTTATATGGATATATCCAAAACATCCAGTTTCTTTCTAAAAGACAAATGTTTTGCCTTAATACTGTAGTCAATATCTATTTATTAGAAGCCAAGAAAAGCCTTCAGGAAAAGCAGATATTTCAAAGTTATCTGACAGCAAAGCTCTTCCACTCCCTTTGAGGTGCCTTTCACCAGACTTGTAGAGAGGGTATTGATGTATGTGGGCCTCAGGTGCCCCTGCTATGTCTTAACCCAACCAGCAGGAATGAGGATTTAGCTAAGGCTTCTACAGTAGCTAAATAACTACTAAAAAACCCAAACAAATCCAAAAAAACCCCCATAACAAAACAAAACCAAAATGCCCACCCAAAACTAGAAAAGCATAATGCTAATTATTGCAATGTTATCGTTTACAACAAGGCACCCAGACGGACTGACAATATCTTACAGTGGATTTCAAATCATAACTATCATCATAGACAGAACAAAGAACAGGTTGATGGAAGCCCTTCATACCTTTCAGGAGAATACCCTGTCTATCTCCTTTTTGCCCATTATCCCAATACACTTTAAAATACTGACATTGAGAATGACTTTTTTCTCCTGACATAGAAAGAAAAGAAGTAATGGTTAGGAAGGGAGAGAAGATAAAAATTAGGGACACAGACTCTGCATAGCAGGGGAAAACGAAGTACCTAACACAGTGCAGGGAAAGAGCACAAGACAAATTAGCTGGGTTTAGTAAGAAGAAGCTGGGCTGCTCAAAGAGACACCACACAGAACTATCAGACAAGACTCTCTACCACCAGTTTTGATTCACACTGGGACATATGGAACCAGCTCTACTTTCCTAATATTTCATCTCAAAAATAGCTAATGAAAACTCTGCAATTTTCATATTTCGCTTCTTAAATTTAGAATGTCAGTAAATTTAAGGCTGTAGTCTCATTGCCCTTTTGAAACAGCTGAAGTGCTGGATATTTCACCAGAAGACAGGTATGTGCATTTTTATCAATTGTCAGAAGAAAATAAAAAAAACTTACTTCCAAATTCTTAAGTTTTTCTCCATATAACTGTTAAGAAAAATGGGTTTATCACAGAATAATTTTTAAATCAACATCTTCCTAATCAAATGTATTCAGTTTAAAAGTAAAGTTTTCCTAGTTCTTATGAAATTGACCTAAGTATCTGAAATTCAACATATGCTGTTTGTGCACTATTGTTTACTATAAGATGGAATAGATTTTCTGTATTTTAAATATTCAGTTCCACACTTTTACACAGTTCTGGGCTAATGCAAACATTATAAAATTGCAATTACTATGAAATGCCATTCACAGCATGTTTGAATGTACTGTGGTACTGAGTCCTTTTCCTCTAAGAAAATATTTAAATGAACAAATGTGATTCCAAGTATTAGCAAAACAGATCCCTGAACAAAAATGATTTCTTTAGAAAAGTTTTTCAGACTACGCTGACATAAAAAAGTGCTAAGGTTTGGGGGAAATTAAGTTTCAACAAGTAAAACAATGGCAACTGAGTTCACGGATAAGATTTAGCATAGCTGACCATGATGTTACTAACACAAAAGTTTCTGCTCAGAGCCAAACTTAGAATCACTTGCCCCAAAGAAGCATCACACGTTAACACAAAACAGACAAAGCTTGAACAATTTAAGCAAATTCATAACATCTTTGCTCAAAAATCCCAAGCAGGGCTGCAGATAAAGGTGGTTTATCCATACCTGGTGGATCTCTGCAGATGTAACAGATGTACTGCTCTGGAATGCTGTCCTCCAACAGTCCCATGCATACACTGTGCTGCCAACACAAGCATTCTTCACACTGACATCAGAAAAAAAACACAACAAAAGCAAAAACTAAAACTGAGACAAGTAGATGCAAAAACCCAGAAGCTACTTCTTGAATCATCAAAATGCAGAGAACAGCACTTAAATTTAAATAGCTGGCTTGAGCAAGATTATTTTAGTTGGGCAATTTGTGTTTGGGTAGACAAAGACATCAAGCTAAAAAAGAGCTCTAGATCTGAAAGTTACCTCAACCACAAACTTCAGACTGGAGAAAAAAAAAAGAAACTGAAGATGTAATATTAAATAGTATTTTATTGCAACATTCAGTATTTTAGCACCTACATATTTAGTAGTGAAACATAAGACAGGAGTATAATATTATAGTAAAGTAGAAAGATAATGTAATACATTACAGCATAACAGTGAAAAGTAGAAAACTCTTCAGTTTAATTATTTATATTTACAAAGCATCTCTCCAGTGCGCTAGAAAGATGTGCTTTTAATATCGCACCAATGGAAAATCTAAAAGAAAAAGAAAATTAAGAGAAAATGAAAGAGGAGAAACAAGAGAATAGGAGAGCAAAATAGAAGTGGTAAGACATGAGAGCCTAGAAACAGCAAACTGGTTGCTCTCAGTGAGACAAGCATGAAGAGGAAAAATCAGGTTGTCATTGGACTTCAAAAACAGGCAGGAGACTGCCTCTTATAAAGATACTTCCCTTTCTCAACTCTGTGCTTGCCAGTGTTTTAAATATCTGCTGGCTCACTGCTGAAAATCTCTCTTCTTTGCTTTGACATGCCTTTGAGCATCAACCTGTCCAAGACACTGAAGTCACCATTTCTCCTGTCACTACAGCTACCGTGTCCCCTCCTGTCTCAGAAGATTGTTACACCAGTCCATTTTTCCAATTGTTACCACAGCTGAACTGCTCAGTTCCTCCAACACAGCACAGCCTGTTAGTCTGCTCCCCAAGACAGCCTGTGTGCCCTCCATTTCCAGGGCTCTGTCAGTTCCAGAACACTGAGTCCACTAACACATGACAGCCCTACTTGTTTCCTTTAAATCTTGACTAAAGAGCTCCATACTATCGGCTGGAACTGTACCACAGTAGTAGTTGAATACAAACCTGATTTTGAATGGGGGTAAAAAAACCAGAAGGTTCATGACCTTTTTAAAGTTGTTGTCAACTGAGTTCTTCCTTACTGCTTTTTGCATCTGATTTAATTACTGCATTATAAATTGCTTGAGAAAAATACTTGAAATTTCTCAAAGATGGGAAATACTCTCCTAACTGGAGTACAAAGTAATAAGCAGCAGTTGCAATCTGTCAACACCTGAATGCTGTGCAGACATGGAATACTCTTCTTCCCTTTTATCTATACCAACTTAAGATGTAAATTCTCAGCAGTTTCTAAAACCTGGTAGTGATACCCAGTGTGAGAAGTGCTGTTCTAAAGATGAAACACACATCACAGTATTGACAGTATTTAGTGTCTGCACAGGAGACACACTGCACACAGAGGAGGGACATTTACAGTGAGCAGAGAGGTTTCTACAAGTGGTACTGCAAAGCACAAGGGCCAAGCCAGGAGGGCTTGTAAAATCTGGATGGTCTGGGGAACAGAAGCAGAATGGTTTGTGTGTGGCCGAGGATACTTTATTCCAAATTTATCAGCTGGCTATAAAGAAAAAGGTTACTCAGCAACTTGTCCTATGTATCAAATTGCTAGAGAAACCCCATCCTAGAGGAACAGCTCTGTATCCACTGAACAGAGCCAAACCAAGTGCAGAACAAAGAAATATTTTGTTCTTGTTCACTTATGTACAGCTCTCTACATAATTCCAGTCTGTGACACATCAAAAGGGCACCTTCACAAGCAAAACATTCACATGGAAAATGTAACTCCACACACCAAACTTCTTTACCTGAATCATAAAACCATTTTCTTCATCAAGTTCACAAATGCATCTAACAATTTCATTGATAGCATCATCTTCATCCTGAGACTCTTCAAAGTTGGTTGAATCAAAATCCTGATTGTATTCATCACCACTAAGTAACAAACTCTCTGTGGAAGAATCATCCAAGAACTCCACATCTGAAAGGTCTAATAGAAATAAATACATGTGAAACTGTGTGGAGAGACATAATAACTGAAAGAAATACAAGGAGCTTCGACAGGTAAAAATCTTAATCTGCACTAGCAACAAATATCACTCTCAAACACACTGCTGATACATGAGATTTCAAGATGAATTCTGCAAAGTGCCTTTAATGTGCTCTCCTCAGATGCAGAGTACCAACACTTAACCAAAGCAAGTACAATGTAGAACAGCTTGAGGAGTGCAAGCTTTTTGATTTAAATAGATGAAGGATAAATCAGTCATCACATTTATAGTTACAATCCCAAACATAAACCAAATTATTTCCTTTAAAATTCCCTTTCTTAACAAATTAAACCTACAAACTTAAATCTGCTGTTCATTCAACCTACTTTCTCCACTGAGGTCAACAGAGAGGATGGCTCTAGGGTACTGGTACGAGGTGTTCTTCTCTGAGAACATACTGCGCAGGGTCAGAGAGCTGCCCGAGGAGCGCGTCAACGGAGAGGAGCACCTGTCCAGGAATTCCACAGAGCTGTCTTCATAATCCGAGTAATCTGAAATGTTGAAAGAAAAGAAGTTGCTCTAACAAAAGTAAAATTTATAACAAATGTAAAAAAAAAAAAAAAATGGTGTATAGATTTTACTCCAGCAGCATTATGTTGAAAAGCAAAGACTATCAATGCTGAGGTATCAGGATGATGAACCTGTAAGTAAGAAATGGCAAAAACTCTTTGTAACATTTTATTACAAAATTTCCAGTAAGAAACATAATCAAGTTTGATAGATAAGCATCACCATTTGTAACTCTGCCACCTCTGAATGTACAGAGGGGTAATTTTTCCTAGAATATTATGCAGTCTTCTTTCTCCACAATTCATCCTGCACCATCTGCTATCCTTAGAGCTGCTGCTGGTGACTCTCTCATGCCTTAAGTCTGCTTGCAGCACTACCAGCATTGCTACTTAGAAGCAACCACAGACGACCCTGCCAGCTTAAGTGATAAAAGCTTGTCTGCACCCCTGCAGAGGAGCACAGGGAGCTCAAAGAAAATTGTCTTTGCATGTTCCTGCCCATGTCAGGAGACATCAATGGGTCAACAGGTCCTGGGATGGGCTAGGGAGCATCCCAGAGAGTATACATACACAGGCCAGAGGAGGAGGATGAGCAGGCAAACAACAAACACCCCCTGGCCAGGCCCCTCTCAGACTTTCCCAGCAGTGCCTTCACCACCATTGCATGAAACCCATCAGGATGTGTTACCCACAGCAGCTCTCTGGATCATCTTCTGGACTAAGGGCAGTTGCAGCCTGGGGGTTGCCAATGGAGGACACTATGGGATGTGGGGGAAAATAATTTTGGGTTTATGAATTACTATGAAATGTTTAGGGAAGAAAATAAAGGTAGGGATAATGGATGGACTGAAGTGATTTGGGGAAGAATAATTATGGGCAGAACACAGGAATAACAGGACAAAAAAAGCCACATATGCATGAAGTCTTGTGGCCAGTACACTTGCCTGGCCATGCTCTGCATCCAGCCTGTGCTGGCAGAGGTTTTAAGTCTCCTTTCTTGGAGACATTGAAAAGCTGTCTGGATAAAATCCTGGACAACCAGGACAAGGGGGTAGGACAACTGCTCTTCCAGAGGTCTCTTCCAACCTCAACTATTCTGTAATTTTTATTAAACCTCATTTCAATCTCTTACCTGGGGAAGGGGCTCTCCATTCAGGGTTCATGTACATGCTCTGTGTGCCAGCAAATGGAGTAGCCCTGCAGGTCAAAGGGTCCACGTGTCTGTGGTGCCAGCACTCAGAGACAGCAGTGACAACAGTGCCAGCCCCGTGCCAGGGGTCTCTGGTCACAGAGGCCCATGAGCTCATGCTGCAGCACCTGCAGCCAGTCCAAGTGTCTGATTGCTTGCATGGATCAGGCTGGACCAGGTGATGAGCAGGTGAAGTGGCCTAGGAGCAAGGGGTCAGTGGGTCTGCAAGGGCCAGCTCTGGGTGAAGTGGCTCTCTAAGCAGGAGAGCTGGGGTGGGGGGCTCTGGGGACCCAGGGAGTCCTGGCCAACACTGGGAGCATGTGAGAATGCACATGGAAGTGAGACTGTCCGTCCTGCAGTGGGGCTGCTGCCCCATGAACTCATACCAGCAGGCACAGAAATTGGAAAGACTGGAATTCAGAGGAGCTACTGGGCAGTGTCTGAGCCCACCTGCTGCAGAAATCCCCACTGTACTTACACACCTCTGTATTATCTTCCTGCTCAGCCAGAGAGAGGAGCAGGGTGAGGCTGTCAAAGCACACACACACAGACAACATCATGTGTTTCTGCCTTCTGGTCACACAGTGCTACTGACATTTATCTTGATAACCAGCATTGTATCTCTTCCTCTATCAAATTACTTGTAACACTCTCAAGAAACACATTACAAACACATTTGGCTGTCCCTAATCATGACTGGAGAGACTGTCCTAGGAAAGTAATTGCAAATCATTGAACAGTTAGGGCTGGAAGGGACCTTAAAGATCATCCTGTTCCCCCCCACCTTCTAGTAGACCAGGTTTTTCATCCACACTTTTAGAGGTCCATCCACACTGGCCTTCAACACTTCCCAGGATGGGACATCGACAACTTCTCTGGGCAACCCATTCCAGTGGCTCACCACCCCACAGAGAAGAACTTCTTCTAAATATCTAAACTAATCTAGATCTACCCTCTTTCAGGTTAAAACTGTTACCCCTTGCCCTACCACCACACTCTCTATTCAGGAGCCCCTCCCAATCCTTTCTTTGGGTCTCCTCTAAGTACTAGAAGTCTGCTATATGGTCTTTCCCCAGCATTCTCTTTTTCATAAGAGAGCCTAAAACAGACTCTTAGCCTCTCTCACAGGGGAAGTTTTCCACCCCTCTGATCATCATTGTGCCCTTCCTCTGGACCCACCTAAGCATGGCTTCAATCAGTAATTAGGAGTAGCTACCCATTTACTACTCTGAAAAATTAGTACTTCAAATATAAGCAAGTGATCGGATTACTGCACTTCCACCCTTCTGTAGGAAGCATTCCTGCAACCACCTATCACTACAGTTTTCCTGCTATGGGTTCCATAGTATCCTTCTCTCCTAGATCACTGTTCATGAAGCCACCTTCCTCTTTACAGTCTCTGTCCACAGCACATCTCCAGCCTTTCCCAAGTGTATGCACTGTAGTCAGCTCCAAGAGCAGCAGAGTTGATTACCTCATGCTGCATGGCTTTCAGCCTCACTAGTGGCAACAGAGCAGCAGGAGTATCAGGCATTGCTACTTTCTGCTACACATGGCTTAATGCAATCAGTAAGTCATGCACACACCTGGAGCACAAAACCAGTCCACAAAACCAGTCTTTGCTGGGGTTTCTGTTTTGTCTTAAAGTCTTGTTCAAAACTTACCTGGGGTACACAATGTACCTGCTCCCTCTTCTTAATTTGAAACAAAAGGAGAATGCCTCACACCTTTACGCTTTTATCCATGCCTGGAGTAGAGTGACCTAGTCCTGGATGGAGTCCTGTTTCTTTTGACAGATGGGCTTTTTCAGGCTTTTTCAGTCAGAGTCTACCAGAGTATTTCAAATTTTTTCCCCAGTTAAAAAAAGTCCAAATGGAATACGTTTGGATTGTTAAACCCAGATTTTCACAAGATGAATTTTTAAAGAATAAGACATTCAAGTTTTACCCAAATTGCTTTTTGCATCTGGATTTAAGATTTCTATTTGTTGAGACATTGGGCATATTTTCTTCTCATATTTACAAACACTGGATAAGGCTCCTAGAAACTGGAACCTAATCATGGTACCTCTGCCAAGCTTCTAAGTTCCAAGACAAGCTGGCAAAAAGACCAAAGGAATAAAAAGATGAAAAAAAGAAAGAGAAAACCCCAGCCCACAACAGACCCCCTTATGACCACAAGAAGATAAAACCAAAGAACAATACTGGACACATACCTAGCACTTATCAGTATCTTCTTGCAAATACTTAGATGCCTTCTCAGTGCAAGTAAGAAGCTCCCAATGATTAAGTAGAATAAGCATTTGAAGTTTATAGCTTAAAATTATGTTACTCCAGTATAAGGATGAAGAACCACACAAAACTTACAATATTGCAATTCACACTAAAGCACTGCATGATCTGGAAGCATTTTCATGGTATAGCACAAATTTTGGACAGGGAAACACATAATCCACAAAATATAATCCCCATTTGTCAAGGCAACAGACAAGGCTGTTACAACAGAGATGCAAACCTCAACTGTGAAAGAGGAGGTGCATTGCATACAGCAAACCACTGGAATGTAGCAACTAACTAGACACTAGAATGATTTTACTGTCCAACCAAAATAGGTATGACATGTATACAGAGCTTTAAAAGAAGAATTTAAAGAGATGAAAACAACAAGCATATCTTTTTGAAGAAGGAAAAAAAACCCTGTGAAATATGTGTGTCTATCACATAGAGAGAGACAGGCTATAAATGCAAGGAAAAAAAGAAGTCCCGAGTGTCCTTTTCATATTTAAGGTTAAAAATTACTCTTGGACATTTCTAAAATTTTACATTTATATTGTTTACAAACAAGTTTTACTATCTAATGATAGAAATACACTGGGTGGTTTTACTTACATTAAAAACATATAAATTGAACTTACCATGCTGTTTTGATTTCTTCTTTTTTTTCTTCTTCTTTTTCTGTTTTGGTTTATGATCTTTTTCCTTCTTTTCCTTTTTCTCCTTTTCTTTTTCTTTCTTTTTCCCTGAAATAAAAATTAAACAATTTAAAGCAGCTTAGCCTAAACAAGGCATTCAAAATCAAGTGCTTCAGTTGTCTAGTCAGATCAAAATGATTCCGTTAATTTACTTGACATCTTGGACACACCTCTTATCAATTGCTGGTATAATAGTTCAAAGAAATCTCATTTCACAAATAATATTTTATCATTTAAGTATTTCCAAGTAAGATATCAAGGCAGAAAAAATACAGCAACGTACACAAAATATTTAACATCACATAAATAGCTTATAACTTCTATTTTACTTACAGTTTATAACAAAAACATTTGGGCAAGAGAAAGAGCTTTCACAAGGGCAAAATTCCCAATTATAAAGGTTACATTGTCCTAGAAACACATATTAGGCCTACAGAAAGACACTTGAAGGAAATTTCAGTATCAGAGTGCTGCTGTCAGCACTCTGCACTATACAGTGGCATCCTCACAGAAAACTGATTCTGACACATTTTTTATGCTGCAGTTCACTTTTAACCACTGTTGGTATATACAAGGACAAGTACTTTGACTTTGAAAGATTTTTTTTATCCTGTTAATTCTCCCTAGACAAAATACACCCTACATTTTCACTCCACAATAACTTCTTAAGTTATCAGCAGGGAGAAAAATAACAAGGAAATTAACTTGTTACAAAAAATAAGCCTGAAAGCCAGGATTGTTTCCGGCACACAAACTGGAGGAGTCTTATCTTCTTGGGGAATACAGAGACAAAGCTTTTACCTCCTGGAAAAACAAAGTAGAATCACTTCTCAATTCTTGCCAGTCCCTAATAACTTATTTTATTTTGAACACAGGATAAAAACAGAGTCCTCTTAATCTGTATTTTGTTTCATGAATCGCCACATGTTTTGCTAGTAACCCTTGTTTGCTGTTCTCATCTCAAATGTGACAGTACAATGGAGTAGCCAGTATTACTCATTCTACTAAGAAAAACCCCAATCAAATGAAAAACCAGAGGCAGTGGGCCTTTCATAGATACTTTAGGATCCTTCAAACTTCTTGCTATGGGCACTTTCGTTTTATCTTATAAATTATTCTTCTGTTACAAAGCTGTCATATGCATAACAACTCTTTTTAGGCCCTTAACAAACAAAAACTGCAGCTGGGCCCAGGAAATATTCTATGCTTTTACATTTGCTCTTCAGAGACAGGAAGTATTAGAGAATTTTTCCTTTTTTTGTAAAAATAATATTGCTCTCCACATACCATATGCTGAAGAACTTTTCTCTTCCAGTTTTCCTTTTCTTTCCATTCTAGCTGCACCTGCAAATTGAAAAATGTAACACATAAGGCCAATGTCTGGCTGATGACCTAATTTCTTGTATAAGTCATTAGACTGTATAAAATCCTAACAGCACACAATATTAAGAAACTTACAAACAAAACAATTATTTTTAATGTCATTTTACAATTATTTTTATTGTCTAAAGCACTGGAAACAAAAAGTATTGTAGTTTACCAACTTCTGAATGCTTGTCCTTCTCAATCACGTTCTTTAATATTTTCTCCTTCAGACTCTCAAAACATTTCTCCTTTATGGGCACAGAGCACTGTATCTCTGTCCCTTCAGAGCTCACTGATGTGGAAGACCTCTTTTTTTTACTATTCCCTTTGGGTAACTTGAGACTATTGGTTAAAGGCATTTCCAGATGCAAGGCATGTACATGGGACGAGGGTGCTGAAAACAAGAAGATGGATTTACTCGGCATTCCAAAAGGATTGCAGCCAGCCAGGGCTGGGTCAGATCACTGAAATGTCAATACTGCTCATACCATCATCACATTTAACAGGTCATTACTGCACATGAATGCCTGGACCTTAGTCTTACATACAAGACAATACATGCCACAGGAGGCTTATTCCTGTATTTTAGAATTTGCATTCACTTTTAAACTACCTCTACTGGTTAAAATGTACTTTTGCTGAGACTTTTAAGACTTTTTGTTTTCTTTTTTTTTCACTGTAATAGGAACCCATGACAAGAGTAATAGTTAAAGGTGCTGACACTGTCAGTAGCATTTAAGTTAATGCTCCATTATGTTAACAAAGAAATTAAGCTCTGGTACAAAATTTAGTACAATAATAGTCCTATGTATAAAATATTTCTGCTCATTGAGTTTTTCATTGATTTTAATAATATTTAAATAATTCACTTTCTTTCATAAATCCACATTTAAATAACATGTAAAAGTACCATGACTTGACAGAATTCGGCATCATGTACTGACAATTCTCATCTTGTATTATTTAGAAAAGTATATTTAGCGAAATATTTAGTTGTTATTTTAGCTCTTTATCTGGTGCAAGTTAGGAAGTAATAAACTGTGAAAAAACAAAACTGAAATTGCAATTTTCACTGCTAATATTTATAATCATTTTAAAATAATCAAACTAGAATAAAAATTTTTTATAAAGAATATTATTGAAGTAATTCAAAACTCTCTATTACTGCACCCATAACTATAGTTAGAGCTTCAAGATTCATCAAAATGTAATTAGGAAAGTCTAATTTTCATCAGACCCTTGGTCCATTTTAGAACCATATTATACAAAACTGCAGCTCTGTAAAGTCACAAAGGGCTCAGCTTTTTCCGTGCCAGATGTAAAATCCTGGAGGCACCAAGTTACCTTTGGTGTCTCTCAACAGAAGAGCCCAACAAAAGCATAAGCATGTAAAAAAACAAAAGTCCTGAAAAATACCAGCTATTGGCCAAAATATTGAAAAAGACAAAATATGGAGCTGATCTGGAATGCATTAAATAAGCAGCATTAAGATAATTTAGTAAATTCAGTCATAGAAAGATTCTGGGGAAAAGGCAAGAACATATCAAGCCTTCCCAACAGGGCCAGACCAACACAAATCTACTGGGATAGAACACAGCTGACACAACACCTGCTCCCAATGCTGAGCCTTCCTGGGAACACCCCACAATGCCACTAGTTGGAAAGCTGAAGGGCCAGCAAGAACAACAGAAATTGGTGCATCACCTCCCACAGCACTTTTCAATGCCAGGTGTCCCCAGCTGCAGGACAGCTCTGGGCTGTGTAACCCAGGCAGCAGCAGCTGCTCAGCTCTGTGTGCTGGCTCCTGCCACACAGCACGAGCTGCACAGCCACACCTGGGGCCACCTGAGTCTTTCCACTCACCTAAGACCATAATCCTTTTAAGAGTGACTCAGGCTCTTGCCTATGTCTGTATTTCAAGTGCATTTAGCTTACTGGAATACTTATCACTGACACGGAACACTATCCAAATTATTCCTTTCTTAGGTTTCCTAATTACCATTTGTCTCTGTTACAGGACTGAACTGCTCTGCCATCTGTAGAGCAATAAGTATATTTTAGCACATTAGTAAAAGAAAAAAGTGACACTTTCCCACATCATCATGCTATCAACGTCTTGTCTCATTTCTAAAAAGAGCTCAAAAGGATCACCCAAATGCACGTAATTCATTTAGGTCACTGCCATTTCGATGAAAAGATGTGAGAACACTCCATCCAAACATTCTCAAAAGAAATTTAGTCTCAATGTTAGATGAATTAGTATTTAAACTTTATTATTGAGAAGAAATCCTGACCTGACATCCAAATATGATTTAATACCAACAGTCACAACACAACAAATTTCGGTATCTCAGTAATTTTCAACACAAGCACATCTGACAAAGTGATTAGTAACTGCTTGAGGGAACACTTGTATAGGGCAGAAATCTCTCCAGTCAAGCAAATACCCATCTTACTGTCAGAACTCCCCAAACTGCCCTTCTATAGTAACTTGAAAATAGAAACTGCTATTATGCCTGTATCCATTGAAACGTTATTCTCGGCTTTTACTTTTCTTGATTGAAAATAATTTTAGATAGAGAATCTTAAATTCTCAAATCCTACATAAAGTGTGAAAGCTTGCAAAGTCTGCTTTTCAACTGTGCAATCACTATGCCTTACACATAACCACAAAATTGGACAAGGTGGTCAGTCAGAAGGGCAAGTAACAAATACAATCAGGAAGTATAAGTTCCTACCTTTTTTATTTTTAACTGCTACTTTTAATTGCAATTTATTCCTCTTAAGGAGTCTAGCCAGCCACCTCCCACACAGTGAGAGTGGGAGGTCTGCAGTTAACACTCAGCACAGAGAAAGACGACCAGAGATTAGACTTGGTAAACTACTGATTTTGTCACCATTCCAGAATCAATTTTATCACTAGAAGACTGATTTCAGATTAAAAAAGAATGCAAACCACAGCATTCCCAGTCCACTTTATAATATGCTTCCAGTTCTACTCCTGTTAGGGAACAAAGAAGTGACACAAGCCCCCTCATGCAAGGACAGGATGCTGTGCCACAAATACAATAGCACAACTGGGCTTGCAGTGGTACTGCTTATTGCAATTCATCAAGCTCAAATGAATTGTAGTAATCTGAAGCAATTTATTTTGTTGGTATTATTCTACTGGTATTCTATTTCATGGCTTTCCATGTTTAAAATAATATAAATATCACTATCTGCATTAATAAACAACCTAAATCATATTGCAATAGAAATATCAATCATGCTGCTCATGTTTAATTTAGTGCTTTGAATTTCCAGTGCATAGATCAATTTTATATTTCAACAGACTTTTAATTGCATATCACAGATTAACACTGGAGCCTGCCCAAAATGATGTCTTTAGGAAGAACAAGCCAATAAAACAGTTCTTGCTTGCCTCATGACCAGCCCAAACTGGGAACTTCAGGGCAGATATTAGAATGGCAGGCATTTAAATTAGGGAGTAAATTGGACTGTTAATAGATGGTTGAAGTAAAACAAACAGCCACAAAGTAATATGAGAAAGTAACAAGATGAACAGTTCATCCCTCTTAAGAGCAAGGTAAACCAGAAACACTGGCAGGAGTTTTTACAAAGCGATCAATCTCATTTTCCGAAAATTCTGTACATCAGCTGTTTCTTGTTCCTGCTGTAGTAAACTCTTACCAAGGAAATTATATAAAAGTATGCAATGTTTTTTTTTTTCTTTTAGTCTTAAATTCAAATTTCTTCCATATAGTTAACCTAATGTTACCCTCCCAGCAAAATCATCTGTTGGTGTTAGAATCGAAAATAACAGCTAGTGATAATATTATTATAACAGCATTACAAATATTGTATTGTTAGATTAGAAAGTGTACCAATATTTTCCTTTTACTTAAACTTCAAAACCCAGATTGCTTGCTGAAATTATGTTTGCTCAATATTTAACAGTTAAAGTAACATAAATGGTGCAGGGTTACAGAGGCCAAGAGAAAAGATCACAAATTTAAAGAGAAGCACAACTACAGAAAGATCTGAACTTCATATATTCAGAATGACAAAACTACTGTACTTTGCAAGTATTCTGATTGACTGTGGATTTAAAATCTCTGAAATGCTAAGGTGATCAAATGCCAGTTATCTGCATTTTAAGTAATTTAGCAAATGAAAGCAAAGATTCTTAGTAATGTGTGTGCAGTATCAGGTGATCACAAGTAGGACCTCACAATAGTTTAGTAAAGCAGTACCTCAGTTCAATAACTAATGGGCGGTGTACAGGTCTCTACCAAAGTGCAAAGTACTTCCATGGAGCCTTTGGATTGAAGAAATTAACACAGAGCTTTAGTTTTGCCTCTACAGAATGTTAAGGTGTTAATTTTGAGCAATGATTTTGAAATCTATGTGTTAACACTGTGAGTTACCATTTATTCATCTGCACTTCAGTGCACCTAGTCCTCTCCTCTGAAAACATCATGTCAATACCTTCTGAATAAAGTCACTAAAATGCATAATTTTTAACAACACCAAATAATTTTTTCAATTGACTCAACTGATAGCCTCCATCAGAAATCACAGTGTGCAACATCACAAATCTCTGGTTTAAACCAGCTCAGCTGTGTTACAGAAGGGTCAGGGATCAGACCAGGCTGTTAAAGGCTAAATACCATCGTGAGGTATCTCAAACTATTCACAGTTACCTACTTCAATGATTACAAAGACAGCAGGTCTAACTTAAGTGCACTTAACAGAATCTGTAGTGATGTCAAAATGTAGAACACCAAATATGTCCAGGCTGTGTTAATAAATCTTAGCAGCAGAGACACCATAAAGAGATACATATTTATAATAGATCTTTCAGATCAAGAAAACACAATTACAGAATAGTTTGGATTTTACACCAGAGTTCTCAATTTGTAATGGATAGGGTCACAATGCATACATTTAAACAATGAATGCAGTGTATTAAACTGCACTTAGATGTTTCTGCATAAGAAAAATTAACTTTTCTCAATTATTTCAAGAATTGACAGGAATGAGAAAGGAAAGCTTTGGGCACCTCTCCTGTATCTATTCGCTTGCTTAAACAGATTGTTTAAACAGATAATGAAGAAAGTACTGATTAATAGAGTTGATCCTATTTATTTTCCTGAAGCATGGAAGAATTTGGTGTAATTATGTGTGCTTCAGGAATGTGACTTGAGAATCTGTGCTGTTTCAAAGGCAAAACGATGCCTTCTAAAGCAGAGAACACAACAAATTTATTCCATAGTGTAGACTAATTCCAGAGGTTTCAAACCTGAACTTTAAATTTACATTTTTCTATTTCTTCTAAGATTATGAGGATAAACATGTTCCACCAGAGTTAGAAGACTGGGATGAACCCCAAACACATGAATTTTACTTATAGAGTCCTAGTGATACCACTGACAGAGGCAATAGCTCCAAAACCTGCGATGACATCTGTGAATTAAAGATATCAAACAGCTTAGTTTAGTCTTTCAGGCCACAAAGTTGATACTCAAGAAGCTGTTGGGCTACATGCTGCAACCTACTGAAAACTTCCAACATTTGGACAAAAATTCAGTATGAAAGCTCAAGACACAGTTCCATTTATTGCATGATGGAAAACTGTAATACATGAAAATTAGGAACAAAACACATGAGCCTGGAAGGCAAAACTCAAAAGACAAGAAATGTACCTGGAAAATCAGTTCCTTTAGAGCTTATAACTCTTAAAATTATATAGATATGAAAAAAGGCTCATTAAACTTTATATAAACTCTGTTGTCTGGTAGAGGTTGCAAGCCCTTCCAGCTTCCCACTATGGACTCAAGTAACAACAGACAATTTTATCATGGAATTTTTCCCTGACACAAACTGTGTGGACATGTCACATAATTCTGAGTCATTAAATAAAGATGGCTCTAAATGAAACTTACTCTTTCTTTTATTGCTTCACCTTTGGCCAAGACCAAGACCCAGCTCAACAAACATGTCCAAAGTGCATTCCTGAGTGCTGGCTTTAGAACCAGATCACTCTGCCCCAAGCCTGGCCCTTAACAGGAGCAGGCAACTTCCAGCATTACCAATTATACATAAAATGAGCTAGAAAATATATTAAAAAAGCCAGAAGTTAAATTTCTAGTAACTGAAATGAGTTTTACCAAACAGGAAACAGATGGCTGCTGGAAGCTGTTGATTTCTTTTATGATCTTGTTCAATGAGTGGGCAAATACAAAACTCCCAAAACCACTTCTCTTAGTGGCAAAAGACATGACATAAAAAAGACTTTTATAGAAGTAATTTTCCCAGGAATCTGTAATTCTGCTGCTATGCCATGTATCAGTGAAGACTGTCACATGGTTTCACTCAAGTAATTAAGTAGTATTTTAATATTTTAAAAAGCTTAAGTGGTGGCTCACTAGAGATACTCATAACCCTTATTTTGACAAATTACTTTAAGAGATTCATAGATTAATAGACCAAGATACAGTTTAACTGTCATAATTCTATCTTTTAAGGTCATGCTGTTCTCCCTTACTATCAATCAGATTTATCAAAAACTTTCCAAGCATAATATAATAATTTGATTTTTTCCCCCCTCTTCTTACTTTTCTGAACAATTTTCTCATGAAACAAAACAGAACAAAAAAAGGCTTCAAAAGAATTCTTTCTTGGAAGCCAGTTAAAAATGGTATGATACCCACATACAAGTCTTAAAGAAAATTATATGGACACCTAGCATACACTGGATGAAAACAGCCCACTCTTAGGGTCTGCAAAGCACTGTGTAAATCCTTCCCCCAGTCTCTCAGTTACCTCTATCCAAGTGCTTCATGTAAACCACAGTAGTCAGCAAACTCTTACAAAGGGAGAGGCAGCCCAAAGCTGCACCAGTGGGCTCTGTGCTGAGGGTGACCAAGTCTATATAAAAGTTATTGAGGATTTTTCAGAAATATTGCTAAGTAACATTTTGTAGCAAGTGAATGACAGAATTTCCGCTGCAAAAAGATGCAAAGCAGAGGAATACTGACTGTTTTTGAGAACACCATTATTTTAAAGCTGAAGCCACAAATTAGTATGTTAGTAAAGACTTCACTTTGTTAATTATTTTTATAACTTTTAGCAATAGCAAAAATATTTTTGAAATACTGCTCACTACATTCCACAGTCTCACATTCTCCTTAAATCGTGTTAGAAGTGCCAAAGCAGATCTAAGCCAGTGAAGACAAAGAATATGCAGATGAGTGGAGTCCAGAAGAGAGGCAGGTTTTTGAGTGTGCAGAAAAGAAAATAAAAAGCATCCCCTCTTTCTGTGGGATTGAATACACACACATTTTAACCCTACAGCTATAAATCTCTCTGGTTGTATACTGAATCTCTTTACCTGACGCTGTTGTAGCTACTCTTCCATCAGTTACTGCTTTGGAAGGAAGATATGCAATCATCTGAATATCTTCCTTGTCTTTACTGGAATATTCATTACGGAAAGTGGATTCTGCGGATAACGGTGCTGTAACTTCCGAACTACGGCTTAAATCAAGAGGGAGACATGGTCCACGCTTCTCAAGTGACACATGAGCAACATCAGGTACTACATAAAAGAAAAAATGTCATATTAAAAAAGACACATGGGTCCAACAATCAACAGTCTGGATTGCAGCGTTACATAACATAGGAACAGCAAACAGCTTTAGCTACATCAGTTCAAAATATCCCATTAGCTGAAAACCACGTAAGGTCTAACTTTTATGAGTCAATTTCTCTTGGGCAGTTCTTTATTAGATTAAGATACATTACCCTCCAATTTTGATGACTGTTGGTTTTGACCACTGATGGAGAACACTTTTCCATCAGTAACTGAAGAGGGAGAAGAAACTTTTTCTACAGAATCATCAGGCAAGGAGCAAGTGGCTAAACGCTGTGATCTTCTTCTCCGTTGGCTATGTTTGTAGGATCTAGGGGAATTCACTGGCTGTGATGGACCTAAAAAGAGATCTTTCAATGTTCATGAAGCAGAGAGATACACCATCATCTTACCGCAGCATTTGAGAGCTAAAGATGGGGAGTGCTTTTAATAGCTCTTATTTGCAAAGCTGGTAATCACAGCTAAACTAGCATAAGTAATTACAGAACTGTGACTACCAGGAGCAAATTCAGATTTATGCTCTAGACATGATTCTGGGTTTTGCTTATTATAAATTACTAGGGCACCTACTTCCCCACTGGTAAAGGTTGTTGTTTTGTGTATTTACAGTAAGCAACCCTCCCCATAAAACCCAGGCAGCAGGTTACTTATAATGGAAGGGGGGTAGTAGGATTTAACAACAAACAGAACAAATGATCACAATTAAAGATCTAAAAAGTCATGGATAGTATTAACATACAACTTAAATAATTGAAAACAGTGTCTAATTTTATATTCCACCTCCTGCCTTCTGATAACCTGATATCAATACCCCAACTGAAAAATTCTAACACACACTGCCAATGCATGGCACAGTAAGAAGGCTCCAGAACTTAATGCTTAAAAAAACCCAAACAAATGGGGGAGGAGGACTGATATAGGTTAATATAGGCCTGATTCATTAAAAACAAAAAACCCACATTCCCCTACCTCTCTTCAATATTACCCAGTTCCACAAAATTTTGCCTTAGAAAAACATTTAAGTTACTATTACACTGTAAATCACTGTTCTCTCCTTTTTGAAAGCAGTTTTTAGAGTCAGATATACAGATTTTAAAATTAAGACACAGCAAAACTAACTTTCCATTAGAGGCAGAAAAAAGTTGGAAGCCAAAGATTAAAGACAACACTAACAAGACCTAAGCTACTAAGTAACAAAGTTTTAAATTAACTGTTTTTAAAAAATATTGCTGCAGAGAAATCCAACTTAATCCAAAATAAAAGCATGCTTCAGGAAAGCTACTTACCATTGCTCTAGGGGTGGGGATGGAAGGCGTATTACAATATAGATGACTGCTAACATTTTGTGGGGACAAAATACAATTTTTACCAATATATCCTGAATAAAGAAGGCTGAATTTGCACTCCTCCCTCTCCCACTCATTTAGTTATCTATGAGCAAAGATTAAAAAGAAACTTATCTCATAAGTGAAAATACAAAATCAAGGTTGAGGGGAATACATGATGCAGGTTGAGTCTTCCATCCTCAATCTCTATACTAAAGTGAAAAAAAAAAAGGAGCTTTTGACTTATTGAAACCTGCATTTATGTTAACCTTTGGCCTCAGCATTTGATATTCTTTAGGCAAAGAATCTGGCACTAAGTAACACTAAAAACCTAATGTAATCTCAAAAAAAATCATAGAAATACCTTAATATTCACAAAAAATAGCATATTCAAGCATGCAGCATAAAGCTTTCCCTATTCTTCTGATAAACAGTATTTTCGTGCTTGGAAATCAGTTACACAGGTTAAGAAGCTGAACACCCATGGGATTTTTCTGGGACAAGGAAATACAATTTTTAACATTTCTCCATCACAGATCTTGAACCCATCTTCTCTTTCACATTGTGTTTGGAGGAAATATCACATAAGGTGATGAATGCCACAGCCAAGAGGTACAGAACATCAGCCTGGTGAAGGTGAAGCTTCTCAGAGAAGGAAAGGTCCACACCAAAGTGTATGTCTTTTCTTTTTAATGAATCAGGCCCTTTTCAGAAGGGAGGTTTGATTTTTCCTGTAGCACTGTTAATGCTAGTGTGGAGATTTAAGCTAGAGGGAAAGCCAACCCTTAAAAGTCATGACTCTATAAATATCAATATATTATTTAAATGTATTATTTCTCATAGAATATTTCAAATGCCTTATTATGTGACTTGACTTTTAAAATAGTGAGCTACCCCTAATTCTCCCACTTGGACATTTTATTTAAAGCAGATTCATTTTTAAAAGCAATAGCCATTTACAACCAAAGAAAATTTCTGTATATCTCTTAGAAGTAGTTACGGAATTTTTTTTAAAATGTCTGTGCTCACTAGTTTTATTTATCACAGCAGAAGGAAGCTGAGAGACCAGCGTCAAATCCTCGACTTGTATTAATTCTGGGGAAAGTGGTGATTTAGGGGGCTTTATACACCCGGAAGAATCTCCAGATTCTTGTTTGCATTTCTTGCTGCGAGCCTTTCCTGAAGACAAAGTTGAGGATAACAGTGCAGGTTTCTGAATGTTGGCAGAACTGCTAATATCAGCTTCATTTTTTTTCTGACTTTGTGGTTTAGGTGAAATCTCCTGAATAAATAATAAAAAATTGATACTTTTATTTCAGTTTCTTCGTTGTAGTTCTTGTATTCTATTTTGATCTTTTTAAAAACAATTTTAGTACTCAAACACATAATAAAGCAACATTATTTTAAGTACAAATGAAAACTATTTAAAATGCATCACATTAAATTCTGCTTTTTTTAAAGGAGCACTACCAATTTCTTTCAGTATTCAGAAGACTCAATTCTTACTATTTGAAATACCTGAAAAAAAACTGAAAATGAAACATTTTTCCTCTATTCCCAATTTAAAAATGCAATAAAGTATTTTTAGTTTTCTCTTTCACCTTCCCTGTCAGTGCAGTCTCCAAGCAGATCCTGGAGAGCACCTGTTCCCAGCCAGAACACACACACTGATGCACCATCACAGAGCATCTCATGCTGGAAGGGACCCAGAAGGATCCCATGTCCTCCTCCCTGCTCCTCACAGGGCTGCCTGCAGCTGAGTCATGATTGGGAGTGTTGTCCAGACACTCCCTGAACTCTGGCACTGCTATGAGCAAACAATCCTTCCTCAGGAAAACTGCAGCTCTAAACAAAGTTGCCAAGATTTTCCCTACACAGTCATTTTCCCAACCAGAGGCAAAAAAACCCCCCAAAATAAAAGGCAGTTCCTCAGGAAAACTATATTTAACAAGGATTTTGTATTTTTGAGAAACTGAAAAAGTTGATAATGCTCCTTTAAGGAATGTCTGAAACAATGAGAAATTTCCAATACTGAGCACACTCTCACACAACCCCTTTCAGTGCTGGGAGTCTGGATTTCACCACATTCTATGTTTGTGCAAACATGAAGAAATCACAGCTTCTAGCACCACAGGGTTAGACAGATTGCTAACTGTCAGGGGAAAACTGGCAGATGAAGAGTTAAAACAGTTTTTGAAGGAAAAGAAGTCAACATATAACACATCTTTCCAAATTCCTCAATTTTCATCCTTCTTCACACAAACAGTACTATTTTTAGACCATTAGCATGCATTGACAGACATTAGCACTTTAAATTTTTCACTGGAAGTTCTTCCTACATTACCAAAACTGTGCATGTGTTACAACTTGCCTAATAAGGCAATATCTGAATATAATTTCTTAGGCCTGTCTCCCTTCTCATCCCAGTTACATCATACAGCATAGTAGCATCTAATAAAACCATAACTAACAACGCAGAGAGGTACTTCTAGAACGTGTGCACTACTTTATCCAAACTAGAACCATGGTGATTTGAGGGTATTATTGAGTTTTGTTATAAATTGCAGTTTTATTTTCCACTAGAACTTTCCATGTTCCAATGGAGGAAAACCAAAAAAAAACAAAGCAAACCAAAACCCCACAAGTTCACATTCTCTATCTGTAAAAGGGTGCCCCTGAATGCTACATGAATGGCTCGCTGGGAGTATCCTGTAAAGATGCAGTGCAAAATATCCCGTTCAGCAGACAGCAGTTCTACCTTGCATAACTCCATTACACACATACTAAGTGCAGTTTATTCATTTAAATAAAATATTCCATGAACTGTAGAGTATACCTATGCTGGTTATGAGGTATTACCAGAAATTAATTAGAGTCGTAACTTGTAAATAAACAATTTTATTGTTCATCTTCACAGATGTGAAAGACATACTACAGCATCCATTACTTTCAAATTACAAAGTTATTTAAACAAGATTAAAAAAATTAAATTAAGATTTTGATAAGGTGCTTAACCTCTTAACAGGACAAATTAACATTAAAAACCTTAATGAATTAATGTTATCCATCTACTCAGGTCTTGGTCAAAAGGAAATATAACATGACATACCCTAATACAATTAAATAAACTACTGTATCTGCAACTAATCGTCTGAGGTTTTGGGTTTAAGACAACTGTAAACTAAAAATGTATAAATATAAACAAAAACTTGCATCAACAGAGTCAGTTTTCGGCTATTGGCCTGAATACTTCTACCATTATTCTGCATTACATTATTAAAAAAGCCTACAAGATATTTTATCCATTCAATTTTATAGCAGTAGCAGACAAAGCCTCTAAGGAATGTCAGCTTCACTATCAGAAAACCTTTTGGGGAGGGTTATAACTCGGCCATTTTAATTTCACTTTGCACAGGAACTCAGGGAAAAAAGCTTTAAGTTCAAAAAATTTCCTCCCCACAGTCAATCGTTTAAATGTTTGTGAGGTTTCTCGTTTTAGTTATACACAAAAGAATTGGACAATTTGGGATTTTAGATGCCTCTTTAAAAGAGCTTAACTATTATTTCCAAAAAATGAGGTTTTTCAGACCATTAGCATGTAAACAATGACAGAGACATCTTGTTTTTTATATCTGATCAATAAAACAGGAACAGCCGAGTTACTAAGTCTGAGAAATAACAAAAAGGTTATAGTAAATATGCACTGCAGTTTATAGTGTTGCATACACAGTCTATGTAAACCACAAAGTCCCATTCACCGCAATGGGATTCTGCATGGCAAGATTTACATTGTAATGATTCTCCCAAAAACAACATGCTGTAAGCCATTTCACAGTTTTTTGCACATTGAAAATATCACACACAGTAGCAAGAAAATCATAGCATCTTTAATATGCAAAAATTTGAGAAATGGAATGTCATGTCAGTACACTGTAAACCTTTATGCAAAATATCGGTCAATGCATCAGCACCGCAGTGGCTCCACCAGCCCTGACAGTGACAGCATCAAAAACAGAAAATCAGGTTCCATTGACTCTCATCCAATGCAGCATCAATGGAAAAACCAGAGCAATGCAATTAATATATCAGCTCTAAAGAACCAGTACAACCAAAATATCAAATCAGGTTTGGGGTAGGGACTGTTCATAGAGTGTGCCGGGGCTAAAGAACAGAAGTGCTTGTTAAAGAATTGCAGGCAGCAAGGCTACTTTGTTCAAATGCTGCTGTTAAAGAATGAAAATGCATACAAAAAAGCTGTATTAAAGATACATTAAGGCTCTGATTTAAATAATTGGAAAACAAAGATGTCCTGAATCAAGACTACTGTTCATCCTTAGCTTGCTTTACCATGCTCAGGCATTCAGCCCTTTTAAAATGCAAGATAATGCACAACTCGGAGTCAAGCAATGCCTGAACACAGTGCAATAAGCCAAAGACAAAATGGCAGCCTCCAGATCCTGCCAATAAGCAGGTTTAAAAATCAGACCCTTAACATTATTTAAAAGTATCTTTTTTGTATTTATTAAAATACACACTCTTGCAAAATGTATGGCTCATTGAGCAGTTCATAAAACACATACAAGCCTACAACACCAAATTCTTACAATATAAAAGAAACTTCTTTTAAAAGAAGTTCTAAGTGATGTCAAAAACCCTGCTTCAAACACAAATCAAATTTGTGTAAGGGCCTGTTTCTAAGCCAGTCATCATTCCAGCTATAAAACTGGACCTTGGGACACTGGTCTCCTCATATTTGTTGCATGGAGACTTTATTTTGTTTTCTGTTAGTTTTCTAACACAAAAGCTCATTATTGAAATTCAAGTTAACACTGTGTTTAGAGACAATTAAATTCCATATTTCTGGCTCTGCCAGAAATGTAAACATAAGATAAATTTTCAGTTCCCTGTTATATCTGAAGGGGAAAATTTTTATGTTGTAGGTACTACATCTCCATGGCACACTCCAGTGGGAACTTTGCAAAAGAATCAAACTCTACCATTTCATACCTGCTCCAGGACTGGAGCTGTTTCTTTGTTGCCTTCCTTTTTTTCAGCACCATCTGCAACAACAGCTTTGGATGCCAATAAACCTTAGGAGAAAAGTTGCAGATATTTTTAGTTAGAAGTACCTTGCAACAAGAATTCATAGAGAAAGAAGTATAATATCAAGACAAGAAATATGAACTGCAAATCTACAACATGACTCTTTCTGAAATGGCTCCACACAAAGCTGAACACTTTGAATTAGAAGAAACAAAAAGTTAAAGGACATCCCAACAATGACATGCTTACATAGGAAGCATTTCCTTGGCATATTTACTGACAAGAAGAAAATCAAATTATCAATTCTAAAAAGAAGCCTTGCTGTTCTTCCAAAGCCCAAGCACTTGAGCTTTAAAACCAAACATATGATATATAAGTTAATTTTGAAATTGGAATTCTTTACAAAACTTTTGCCTCTCCCCTTTCCAGTCTTTGAGAAATTCACATCAGAATTTCTACTACCACTTCTTAATTATAACACATGCAAACCTTTCTTAGACATAATACAACAAGGGATTCAATTTCCAAACAAATATTCTCAGCAGTGGAGCTCCCAAATTACCTCAATTAGATGACCATATTGGGAGCAAATAATATATTAGAATATGTAACTTCATTCACCAACTTATGTAAAATATCATTACTACAAAAAAAAAATCTGTAAAGACAAGGAGACTATTAATACAAGAAAGCTTTCTGTCAGTGAAATATGGCAGTAGCTTCAGTTGTACATCACACAATAACTTTAAGTGCCTAACAATGCAGAGACAGAAGAAGTTCTACACTATTAAAAAAATACAGAACTGATAAAACCTAAAAAAAAAATCTGAATAAAAATTTCTATTATAATCTCTGGGAACATCAATATTAGGAGTGAGGAGTTTAAGTCCTCAACATTAACTTGACAAATTCAGAGGGAATTTGCTATTGCATTCCATAAAAATTAGATATGGCCAAAATTAATTTAAGGTTCACAATGTCCAAGGAATTATAAATTAGTGTAGCCTGGGCTTTCAAGAACTGTTCCAGACATTAAAACAAAACAAAAAAAATTCAGTATTTAACAATAAATACCAAGTGGTTTATCTCATTTACTATTTATGTTAGATTAAGTTATGTCTTAGTTTAGGTTAACTGAAAAGCAGAAACTTTAGTCCTATTAGATAAAAATGAGATTATCAGGTAAGATTTTAATTCTGCATTAGACTACATAATAGATTTATGTTTTACAGACTTAAATAAACATTTTAAACTCAAATTATCCTATTTAAATCAAGTTGCAAAAATCGCAGTGTTCTTTGTCTTCACAATAGTGTTTATATCAAAAAAGTGTAAAATCATTTTCAAAGTCAAGTGAAGCTGAATTTTAAATACAAAAGAAAAACAAGCTTCAGTTTATGAGAAGCATTTGTGGTTCTGTAAGCCACAGGCTGCCCAAAGAAGAGTGCCCCATCCCTAGGGGAGTTCAAGGCCAGTCTGGATGGGGCTTAGGGAAAGCTGGTCTAGTGGATAATGTTGGAATTAGATGGCCTTTAGGTTCTCTTCCAACCCAGACCATTCTGTGATTCTCAGATTCTCTGATTTTTAGTTTTAGCTAGATGATTCCTGCTCAGAAATTCAAGTTAGTAAATCAATCCAGAGTCAGATCTGTCACTACATAATCCTTATGATTTCCTTTTTCTCTACACCATGAAGTATTTTTCTAACCAGGCACCATGCCTGTAGGACAAAGCATCCTCACCAGCTACTGCAAACCAGGACTAGAGGCTCACCACCCTGTCTGTAAGAGCACCTAAGAAAGCAAAAGCAGGGAGTGGCACAGTGAACCAGGAATGTTTTGTTCTGCAAACTCACTGCAGTTATTATCTGGTTTTAGGTACCAACATGCCAGAAGACATGGAAGCAGACATTCCAACAGGGGCAAAAAGTGATTGGAAGATGACATTAATATGTGCTTAGCAGGGGATCTTCTTCACCTTTGGGGAATGGAACTGCTACCAGTGCTAGTAGCAAAAGAAAGGGCAAAGGAAGGAACTTTATTTAGTTGAATGGTGAGCAAAGAACACCTGATGCAGCTGTGGGTCTTGTGGCAGACAAGAAGACCCTTCTCCATCAAATGCTGAAATCCAGGAAACAGGTCCCTTCACACAGCCTCCTGCAATAATGTTTTGCACTATTTCCCCAATACAGCCATAAAAACCTGCTATATGTTTTCCTAACAGCTACAATTCTTTTATTATTAGCTACTCCAATGTGGCTAATTTTATTAGTGGCTACTTTTATTAGTAGCCACTCCAATGGGTACACCAACATTAATCCCAACCTTCCTTCAAATCTAAAAGCTTGTGCTGGAAACAAAAATGTCACAATGCAAGTGTACACTGATATACAATATATTGTATATATAAGCATTTAATGCATAGGAAATAAGCATGTGACAAAAAAAAAATTTATCATTAGCAGTCACATTTTCAAAATGTACTGGTATAAAAAACTTCCTATGCTATGAATTGCAGAAATGTGTTAATTTGAGAACAGATACATGAAGTATCTATAAGGCAAGACAAATTTCTTCTTGCAGTTAAAGGATTAATACATTTTCACTGAAAGGTAACACATCCTCTGCTAGCCAAGTATGTCTTGTGGAGACAGACACACAGTTTTTAAAATTGTGACAGCCAATGGCTGCAAAATCATGGTTTAATTATTCAGTTCAGTCTGTATGAACCTATGTCACTAGTATGATTCTCATAATGCTCCTGAGGTAATAAGAATCTATCCACAAGCACAGGCAAATATAATTTCTAAAGGTAAAGGTTTTTCAGCTTTTTGGTATCTATTGCTACCAACTGCTACTGGAAAAAAATTAACAGGGCTCTGTCAATATACATCTCCAGTCTCTACATCTTCTACTACTACTGCTCATGGCAACAATTAAATTGGAACTTAACTGAAAATGTATGTAGCATGGGAAAGGAGAAGAGAAATGGGGCTGATAAATTTGACATCAATTAACAAAACTTGGAACCAAAGAAGGAGCCTTCCAGGAATGACAATCCTGGAGGCAGAAGAGGGGTTTTTCTAAATACTGCTTCCTTTGCATGAAAAGAACAGATCCTTTTCATCCTTTCTTGAATGAAAAGCTAGACATGAGCTGCCAATACTGTCCTTGCTGCATCTAAAGCACTGTGGGCAGCAGGATGAGGGAGGTGATTCTGCCCCTCTGCTCTGCTCAGACCCCACCTGCACTGCTGTGTCCAGCTCCCGGGTCCCAGCACAGGAAGGACATGGACCTGCTGGAGTGAGGCCAGGGGAGGGACCCAGAGGTGGTCAGAGGGCTGCAGCACCTCTCCTGTGAGCAAAGGCTGAGGGAATTGGGATTGTACAGCTTGGAGAAGAGAAGGCTCCAGGGAGACCTTACAGACCAGTGCCTAAAGAGGGTCTAAAGAGAGCTGGAGAAGGACATTTAGAGGGGCATGTTGTGATAGGACAAAAGGGAATAGATTCAAACCTAAAGAGAGTAAATTTAGATTAGATAGGGGGAGGAAATTGTTTCCTATTAGGGTGGCGGGGGACAGGCTGACCAGAGAAGCTGTGGATGCCCCATCCCTGGAAGTGTTCAAGGCCAGGCTGGATGGAGCTTTGAGCAACCAGGTCTAGTGGAAGGTGTCCCTGCTCATGGCAGCAAGGTTTGAAGCAGGTGAACTTTAAGGTCCCTTCCAAACCAAACATTCCATGATTCATAGCCTTTTATTTTTACTGATTGAGAGACTGAAACAGAACCACTCTCATAAGAAAACCGACTAAACATCCTCCACTGCAGACCCATGAAAGGCTGGATAAGCCAAAACAAGTATGAAAAAACTCACTATGCAGTTTAGCAAATTAGGTTATTTTTGTTTTACAGAAACAAGTAAGAATTTTTATCTAGTTCCAAAAAAAAAAAACCCAACAAAAAAAGCCCCTCTCATTTGTAGCATGGAGAAGTTTACCAGCCTTCACATGAAATACTATTGACTAGAATAATGAGGGGAATGAATCTTCTATCTTGTCAAAGGGCTCCCCTGTTAAGGGAGACACTTCACAATTTTTCTCAACCCAACTTTTGAAATGCATCTGATACTTTGACAGCACAGATACAAACATAAGACTTTGTCCTAAAGACTGACAGGACCAAAGCCAGCAACATAAATTTCTTATTTGGAGGACTATAAATTGAAATAATTTTTTCACAGGTAAGTAAATTTCTATTAAATTCTGGAATAAATGCATTTTTCGGCTTTTAAAGATAAGACAAATTATTTGATTTCCTGTTGTATAGAATGTATTCTGTAGTAACATCCCTGTTTTCCATTAAAATATTTGAGCAATAAAGATAGGGAATGAATGCTTAGGAAAAAAAAATCAGATCTTCATAACTTGAATTTGTAGGGATGTTTATTTCTAAATGAAAAAAACTCTTTTTAGCAACAATTTCACTTCAGGAAAAAATATTTTCTGTTTCTCCACAGCTAACCCTGGCTTTAATTTATAGTATGCAATTCATGACATTCTTAAGAACTTGTATAAACCCAAAAACACCCCATAATGAAGAAAACTGTAGAGCTAGAGGTAAAATATGCTCAAGAAATTCATCAATTCAGGATGGTTACTATACTAAAAAACTAAAAAGACCAAGTACAGTCTGCGACCAATTTATGAACCAGGTAGATTTTACCATTTATGAACCCCTTTAAAATTCTAAACAAGTAGTGACTGCAGTGACCATCTGCCTCATGAATGTGCTTTATGCAATCCACTTCAGCACCTTCTTTACAAGCATGAATATTTCACTACATGAAAAAGGAACAAAGCCAACAATAAAAAAAGTGTTTTACCAGTGATCTTGTTTAGGCGAGCTCTCTTTGCCTGAAATGAGTTGCCTAGATTACTTTTCCTCTTGTGTGATAACGTGCTCTCTGCCTGCACAAAGGCCATCTTTGGAACATCCACTACAGGAAATCCTACTTCTAAACACAAGAAAAACCTCATTAACTCACATTTCATAAATGCATAGCACCGAAAATACTTAAATATTTCAGAACTGCTAACAGAATACTGTAGTAGAGAAACTTTAAATGTTTATAAAAAAGGAAAAGGATACATTCTGAAGATCTCGAATTACATATTTAAACAATAAATGGCAATTATCTAAAAATTTCTAATTTTTCTGAATGTTATGAGAAATAAGCATTAAATACTTAAAATGAACAAATCTTATCAACTCAGATACAGTTTCAAACACCCCTGAATATGGATATATCATGCATAGTGGAGGTTTTTTTTTTTCTTAAAACAAGATAAGGGATTATCTCACAGGGACGAGAAGATCCAGGAGTATCAACCAAATTGTACAATGAAATCATTAATAAAAAGCTATGTTCTGCTCTTGATGTTAGTCAAAAGTTTAGCACAAGCAGTAAATGCTGACTGAACTAGATTTATCTGATAAAAATAGTTTCTGAACCAATTACCATTATGTATCAGAAGATAATCATAACAGCAAATGTGACATTTTAATCTAAAAATATTGGTTATTACTTAACTGCAAAATTAGCAACAGGAGTTCAAGACTACAAAAAAACCAATTTTGTGTTTATAGAATATGCTTTTACCAAATGTGTCACTAGATGTAGGCTCCTCTTCCTTTTTTTGGACTTCCTGCATGATTGTAGAGGTTGAGGTTTCTTCCTTTTTTGAAGGGACTTTTAGCCATTTTCTGTCCTCTTTATCTTTATTGCTGTTTGCACTGGTTCTAGGTTTACTTCCTGCTTTGTTCTTGGCTGCTGCAGCAGCAGCAGCTTTGACCAAAGCTATCCAATCCTCCAAAAAGGAAAAAATGGTGAGTAAGTATTATAAAGTGCCTAAGACTCAAACAGAAAATACTTGTAAACCCAGTGAACTTTATCTAGAAATATTCAAAGGAAATTCAATTTCTTTTTATGGTTACTACTCAAAGAGTGGTAAAATTGACCTTCCCAAATTTCCAAATAAACTTGAAGCATTATCAGTAGGTCATGTGGAAAAAAAGGAAAGAAATCATCCAAAAAACCACTGTATATAGTATTCTGGCTGTACACATTCCCTGTTAAATTACTTTTTGTGTCATTGCTTTAGAAACCCAGGAGCTCCCAGTCCCAGAAGACTGACATTTTTCTTACCCTTCTGGCTCTGAAACACACAATTCCATAGTTGTTGACCTATTATGCAAAGCTACAACTGCCTCAAAGCAGAGTCCAGCTGCATGGAATTCCTCCCAAACTAAATTGATAAACCAGGGATAATTCCTATCTCATTACACCTTTGCTTCCAGAGCAACTACAGACTCTTTTACTCTTTTTGTATTACATATTACAGGTTTCACTCACTAACTTCAATAAAGTACTCCATAATATGACTGAATTTCACCATCTATATTTAAGGTAATTATGTGTCATTTTGCATAATTGCTTATTTGTACCATACAGAAACATTCAAGGGGTGAGCAATACATCCCACTCTAATCTACTTTTTGACATTTAGACCAAGTCAAGCCACCCCATAAGGCAATGGAGAGAGCTTCCTAGGCTGAGCCAAGCTCTTTCCACTAGTTGAGAGCAATGAGACTCCAGCCTTACATCTCCTGAATGTCAGGGTTCAATCTGACTGCCAAAATTGTAACTTGATCCTTTTGACTGAAGTATTTTTTTTTCAATTTTCTATAACACTGGGGTACAAAATTCTTCTGTGAAGAACTTGTGTGCAATATAGAAGGCAGTAGAAATGATCAACCAGTCAGAATAAAGCATCTGAGTGCTCTGAATTATAAATACTACCACACACAAAAAAATATGAAAAAGAGCCATTTTTGTATAGTTACCCATAAGTGCTTTACAAATTGTATTTTTTTTTCCCAACTGCATACAGACTATTTTATTCTGGAATATCTCCTTGTTGTTATGTCATCATACAAGATACCTAAAGCAGCTTGATTTTACAGCTCTTGTTCCAATGCAACCCTTTCCCCACTCGTTACATATTATAAACCTTTCAAGTTTCTGTTCTGTTGAGGGTTTCTTTGCCTTCTTTGACATATGAGGAAATCATAACACCAATACAGAGTTAATTCTCCTTGCATTATGCTTTTCCTTTTCCATAGTTCAATACTTTTAAATCACTCCTTTACATGGGTTATGCTCCTTCTTTGCACCAACTTACGTACATAGAAACAGCAACAGTTTTGATTCCTCTAAGATGAAGTGTTCCATGTCCACACTGTCAGTGCAAGATGCAGACACTCACACTAGCCAGCAGCAAAGTTTGGAAGCACTTTGGTAATGCTCACACAACAGGCAACTACTGAGGCCACTTGGTGACATGCCAGCACAAAGGAGCGTGTCTAACTGCCAGCTGCATGGTCAGGCAAAAGCACACAAACCTCTCTTTTGGGCAGCCAAAATGAGCACACCTACCAGCTCCAGTCCATCCAGAGCCTTGCCCATCCAGCAGGACAAAAACCAGGATTGAGCTATTTGTGGTGGTGAGGAATTAGGAGACCTGAGAGTAGAAGTCTTACACTGTACCCTGGCTAAGGGATGAAGAGGATCAGTAACATGGCTGGAGATGAGATCTTATGATAAAAGTGGGAAGGGGAAGTAGTGCAGCCTGTGTCAAAACAGCTTCTAAAGAGCACCCTAATTTTCAGTCAAGCTAAGCACCCTGGAATCAAAAGCTTTCAGAAGATACCAAGCTTCAAACGATGATGCTGAACCAAGTATCCTGGTCTAAGTGCAGCTGGTGCAACATGGAAAGGAGTTTTGTGGTTTTCTTTGTATTTCATTTCACTGTTTGGCTACTGTTCTTACAACATGGAGCTTACAGTAGCAGGACACATAACAATGAAGCAAACAAAGGTCAAACACTCAGAAACCAGAGAAGAGACACATTCATTATGGTGACAGTTATACTTTTTTCCAAGATTAGCATGTAAATTTAAACTCAGTGAAGAGAATCTGAAGCAGCTGGGATGGACAAGATTATGACAAGAGATTCCTTTCAACTTAAAACAATTTTGTGATTCTGAGTTGTTCAGAAACTCTGTGGGTCCATTTTTGTTTTGGCTCTGGAGTAAACATACAGGCAATAAAGTGACACAGTTAATGCCTGCTTTTTAACCTTGAATTACTGCTGAGTGCTCAGCAGCACAGCTCTTGACATGTGAGAATTATTTAGCATCTAAAATGGTACGGTGACTGTATTTCTTTTCCAGAGCACAGGAAATCCTCCTTCAAAAGGATACATCTGTGTCTTTTTCAGAATTTTTACCGAGAAATTAATAAAACAATTGAAGAATAATAGTGGGATCCTAAAGCACGATAAATCCTGAAGTCTGCCTCAGACTAATAGTATGTAATCTATTCTATCAACCATAATAGCAGGACACTAAATATCACAGATATCACAGAAACTAGCAACAAATTTTAATAGTAGGAAAATTTCCCAGCTCAAACAAAGCCAAGGGCCCAAATATGAACACATTTGAAATTAATAGAGTAAAAGCAAAATCCTTCTAAGAGAAGTTTTCCTTACTTTTCTTTCATTTCCTGACATTGTCTCTCTATTGGAAGTAGTTGTGTAACTCTGAACCAGCTACTCTGCATCATTGAGCCTGATTTCCCACTTCCCTCAGTACCTCACCTCAGTGAGCTTCTCATTTACATATGTAACTTTAAAAATATATAAAATAAAATACATCCAAAATGTGCATTTCCTTCTTTTTCTTTCTTACTAAAATTTAGCTTTCCAGTAAGCTGAGAAAATTGACAGGAGAATAGTAATGACCCACAGCAGTTAGAAAACAAAGCATTACTTTATGACTACTGAGGAAAACTGTCATTATGCTAATTAGATTCACTAAATCAAAACACAGGAAATTGCACGATCAAGAAATACATCAGCAGAAATTACTTAACAGCCTTACACATCAATTGGCTAAAAAACTTGTATTTTAAAATATTCCTTGTGTAACCATAATCCTGTAACAGTGGGAAGGCAAAACCAGAAGAATTTCCAAAATCCAACCCTTGCGTCAGTAGCAGAATTCACACATCCATCGCTCTCCCTCCACCTGCCTACAACCACCACCTTTTTGCCTCTCCACAGTACTAAAGATTCAGCTGCTTTTTCCTCTTCTGTCACACCATAACTTCCAACTCCCACACGTTCATACATACACATACATAAAACATGAATCTATTGACTGGCTGATTCCACATCAAGCCTGGATTCCTTACCCTCACCTTTCAATTCTACACAGTCTGCCCCACCTACATCTCGGCTCACATTGTCTCCTGTCACATCTTCTTTTTTCCTCTGGCCCATTCGCAAATCCATGTTTTTTCCTCAGCTTCCTCTTCCTGTGTGCCAAGTCCCCTCCCTCTCCTTCAAATCCCTCCTCAAAACTCACTTCTTTTGGTTCGATTTCCGTCACTAATCTCAGCTCCGGCGCTATCTGCTCCCTCTCGCGCGCCTGATTACATCGAAGATAAAACAAAAAACATGAAACAGAAAAAGTAAGTTATCCAAATACTTCATATGTGCTCTCACAAGGGCAGTCTAAATATCCCTTCTTCCCCTCTCTGTACTATGTTAGTCACAGATCTGTGTGATTTTGAATAATTTGTGCTAATCTGAACCACAGCTGAGCCTCAAGACTCATTGCACTGAGACAAATATTTTTCACTCTTTTAAAGATTTTGCCTTTCCATCCTCATTACTGAATTTTATTAAAACACACATCTGCTGCAAGTCAAAATAGTTTGAGTGCTACAGCACCTACAGTCTTTTCCTTCAAGTCACACTAAGCTCAAATCAAAGTATAAACTAATCTCTAGCTCTCCAAGTCATTTGAATTCTGCATGCTTAGCACACACCCTCCACGGAGATCTTAAAATTTCTTAGATTTACTGATGTACTAGAACTTGAACTATCTTAAGCTTACACTCATCTCTAAAAATGTATTTTTTAGTTTAGCTACACAGAAAATACAAGTTATAAGTTTAAATGAGGCATGAACTGTTGCATCTGACAACTCTACTTAATTTTTTTATCAGTTTACAGTCTTGCAATTTTTGTAACCTATACATAAATTTTAGTAAAATATTTTCTTATAAAATACATAATGCAAAAGAACAAAAACATCCATGGGAGTTTGAGTCTTAAGCAAAGCTCAGTCTCAGATAACTGATTTTCAACCAAATCTTAGTTCATGTTTTTATTCTGAAATAACAAAAATACTTAGAAAAACAAACATTTTTCCATTGCATTATATGCAAAAATTGCAAGAAAAATTATATCTTTGCTTTTGAAAGCTACAGACTTTCATGCTTATTGCTTATTTTGCAGGATTAAATGCTACAACTAGTATCAATCAGCATTACAGAAAGCAGAGTTGGAGGTGTTCTTGTATCCAGACAACTTAAAATTCTAAATCCATCTCAAAGTGTAAATTTGTGCCCCCAATTCCTTCTCAAGATTTCATTGAAGCAGCCTACATTCAACCCCTGAGATGCATAAGTGGCACCATAACTCTCAACTACTGAGAAAAATTAGAAGTAACAGATGAGCTGGACTGCCACCAAACAAAGTCTGGACAACATAATGGTTGTGAAGTAATGGATTTACTATTTTTTTTTAAGCTGAGATTGCCTGTGGCCTTAAGAGTAGTAACTCAAGATTAGACACAACATTGCTCCCTAGGAAAAGTGCAGGACAGAATCAGGGAGCTCTTTCCACTGTCACAAAAGGCTTATTTCTTTTTGGTCACAATCACATTATCCTAGTTTTGCTTTTTGTAAGTAAAAAGGAACACTCAAGCTTCCTAACTTACTGCCATACTGACAGTATTCCTTGAAATACTACACACTGGTTCAACAGAGTTACTTTAAGACTGCAGCAAGAAGCCAGGGTTAGTGTGACTATAGATTTCAGTTTAATCTCCTTCAGGAAACATCTTTTAAATAATGCAGTGGTGTCTGCACTAAGTTCCAGCATCCCTTGCATAGTGGATCAACCCTATCATACAGCTACCTTTACCCTGGAGGCCAGGATGTGGAGATGCTTTCAAGCCAATTCAATTATCTATCTGCACTGGTCACAATATGGATGGTTACAACGTTAATAATGAAATATTTGAAGTCTACAAAGTTAGGAGAATTCTGAAGAAAACTAAGAGCAAAGACCAGTTTTCATGGATTTTGTCTCAAATAGTTTCAGTGGAGTAATTTCTCATTAAATATTAAAAACAGTTACCATGCAAAATAAATGCAATGGCATTTGCACTGAAAGCATGTAAGAGTTTTCAATGATGTTTCCCTTTCACAAGTAAAGAGAGGCCTAGTGACTAAATCATGTCCTTTACTTCATAATCTCCCTCAACTTCTATTCAGCATCTCTTCTTAAACAGCAACTGGAGGTTATAAGAGACAAGAAATAATTATCTGTCTGATTGCCCCAAAGTTCTGATACAGGGGGAAAAACCCCAAAGTCATGTTTAAAGGAACATGTGGGCAAAAAGTTCTCACAGTAGCAAACAAAAGACATGGCCAGAAGGTGGGGAATAAATAAAATAAAGGAAAAAAAAAACCAACAAATCAGCAGCACAGACTGCTGACAAGCTAAAGCTTTTTTCCTGAAAAGACACCAGAGGGAAAAGCCATTGGATGCCCCTGGTTTTGTAAACTCTGTAAGATAAGGCTTTGTGAAGAGATTAGTTGGCAATGGAGTGTCCAGCAGCCAGACATTTCAGTGAGGCAAGGCCACTTGAGCAGCACACTCTGAGGCATCATCCATAAACTGGTGAAGCAAGGCAGTGCAGGGCCTAGAGAAAGACTAATTTAAATCTAGTTGTGCTACTGACACTTCTACTGTCTCATGATATAAAAAAACAAACAAACAAAACAATGAAGACCCAAACAACCACACAAAACCTAACAAAGCAATTGCTTTAAGTATTCTTACCTGCCCTTTTGCATCCTCTGGCATAGATTTGATATGCATCCTTTTAAGACATCGAATGACACCATCATAGAATTGCACTGTGAATGTTCCTAGAAATGATTGATGGAATCACTATGAGTAGTCAAGAAACAAACACACTTTGTTACTATGAAAGCTTTATGTTTTGCATGTTATTTTGTATGACAAGAGTAACCAGGTGTTACCACTAGAAAGGATCAAAAGAGGTACAAAAAACCATAAATGATGGCCTCAATGAAACCCTGCTTTAATACTGTTACTCCTTCTCCAGCTGGGCAAATTCAAGTATGTTTAAGCTATTGAGTCACTTCTGCTCATAATTCATTGAAATAATAATGTAATATTTAAGATGCCACTCTAGGGAAAAAGTTCAATTTACATCCAAGTCCTCATTTGCTCTAAACTACAGTAAAAATGTCAATTTCTTGTGTTCATTAGAAATATCACCATTGTGAAGTGTTTAATTTGTGCTCCCTTATTTTCCTATTTCCATGGTTTTTCTTCAATAAAGAGAACTAAAACAATTATGAAAATTTAAATAGAACATTAACTCAAATCACCAAAAAATTGTTGATTTTGTAGAAATTGTCCTAAGACTGAGGATCTGATCACTGAAACAGTAAAAACATTTTAAAAAGCATTTTGTTTTCTAGGAGAAGACAAAAAAAGAAGTTTTCAAATTTGATACAGATAAAAGACAAACACTTTACTAAATTTGATTTATAAAAACATTTTCACTTAATATTGGGGCAGAGAGGAAAACTTTATAGCCATATCACTTTTTTAAGCAGACTAAATCTACAGCACAGCATTTTCAAGCAGACCTTACCAATGGAGCATTGCAATACATACCCTCTTTATTAATTGCTTCAATCTTTGCAGGGTAATATCGACAGTCTGTCCAACGAGCTAGGACTTCTTCTCCAGGTTTAAAATCCTATTTTAAACAAATTTAGTTATTAATATTTAAATTATTTCAATTTTTTTCCCTACAAATTAAGTATTATGTGCTAGAGAGATTTAATGACAAGTACAGCAGTTTACAAAGTCTAAGACAAAATCCATGTACCACTTACAACAAATTCTTCATCATCCTTCAGCCCCTCTTTCCTCAAAGCTGGTCTCTCCAAAGGTCTCAACCTGTTGCTGTCCCAGTAAATCCACTCATCGTAGCGATGGCTCCAGCGTTCAAAATGCACCAACATCTTCCCCTCCTCATAATCTATCTTCTCAATTCGAGATGGATACCTGAGTGTTAAACACAAACTGCTAAGTCTCAAAGGTTTCTGTCTTGGTTTAGATACAATAGTGCCTACAGGACCTTCCAGAAAGTTGTATTAACACTTTGTACTGAAAAATCTCTAAGTCTGAAAAAGGCTAAGTAACTGAAATGATTGGATAACATTTAGTTCAAGAATCTATAAACAACAGTGAAAATTGGAATCAGGCAGAATTCAGCTCCTTCTGCCCTTCAGAGAAGTATTAAAACAGATTCGAATGTGCACAGAATCTCCTAAAAAATAAAGAAAGTTAATTACATCACTGATTTTTTTATCAGCATTTATGTTAGGGCTGCTCTAAAGTTAACAATGTGTATGGAAAAAGACCACAGGAAAAGGACAGCTGCCTTTAACAACCTGTTTTTCAAACCAAGTATTACTGTGAACCCATAGTAAAAGAGCAGAGCTTGAGCAACCAATTTCCAATCCTACAGCAAATTCTTTAGCTAGAAAGGCAATGGACATATATAGGGAACCTGTCAACATCATCAATTTTGAATATAATTTCTCCAAAATACTGACTGTGCTCTTAAAGGAGTCTCTAACACTATGTTCTGACTAAAATATAACTTATCAGGAAGTTCAGGCTTCCCTTTTTTCTTACTAACTGAACTGTACATTAAAACAAAAGATGTCAATCTCAATTTGCTCTTTCTTTTCTCCTGTCCTACTTCTTCAGCTGCAGTGATGTATAAAGCTTCCCAAGATTTCAATATCTCAGGAGCTATTGATTAAGAAAATCTCCCTGATTTTATAGGTTTCTCCTGCAGCCACATTTCACCCTCACATCAGAATTCAGAGACACTCCAAGCTCCTGTTGCATTTCTCTCATCCATATATTTCAGAAACACTAAATATTTTTATATCCATTCTTTAAGACCCCATCTTTTTCTCACTGAACTTCCAAAAAAACCCACAGTCTTAGTCTAAAACTGAAGCCTCTCACTTGCCACTCCCCTAATAAAATCTTTTTCAAGTCTTTCAAAGAAACAAGATCAGCCTCTCTTCCCCCTCTAAAGTAGACTCTAACAAGTCTACTTTAGAGGGAGAAGAGAGGCTGATCTCTTCTAACAAGAAAGAAGAAAGAAAAATCTAACAAGAAAGGTGAAACAGATGATCTACTGCATTAAAACAGAATGTAAAACTCTTGGGTCAAACCTGTATCCCAGCAGCAACATTCTGGTTTAACTCTGAACAAGGCTTCAAGAAAATAAGCCAGCCATGAGATGGTTTTCCTAAGCCCTGTCTCTGTTTGTACTTTCTTTTTAAGTCCATATGCGGCTACACTTAGAAATTTTATTATAAAAAAAATGTATTATAAAATTTCTAGGTTTTTTTCATCTTTCAGAGTGTGCCAGTTTCAGACTTAGAACTTGACACTAAAACATCAGAATAAGCAGGAAGAGAAGAAAAGCAGAGGAAAAAAGTCAAGTTACTGTTACAACAGCAAGTGTGTGAGAAACAATGTAACCTAAAGGAGTTCCAAGCAGAAGGACGACACAGCAGATATTTAAGAGAGGGAAAGAAGGAAAACCACCAGAAAAACAGCTTGAGAGAAAGTTCATTTTGCAGCAATCAGAAATGGAAGCCAAGACGGGGATGCCCTTTCCAGTACAGTTCGAAATTTCAGGTTCATTGCATGCCAGCCACCAGTGATGCAAAACTATTGCTGTTTCCAAAATTCAGGGCCAACCAGCTGAAAGAGAATTCTCCTTTTCCTACACATCTCCAGTGCAAACACTCTGCTCCAACCATCCCTATAGCAGCTCCCCTGCTATGGCCAGGAGCTTTCTCTGGTCAGCAGCAGCCAAGGCACCACCCTGTGAGAAGACAACAGCAGGGACAAACTGGGAAAATACAGCACTGACATGGAAAAAGCACACCATGTAAGAGGGGAAAGTAACATGCAGAGCACAGGTTAGAGACAAATACTTTAAAATTAAGATAATTATAAAGACAATTCAGCAAGCCAAGAGTCAAGACATTAATATATATACAAAATCAAAAGATAAAAAGTTAGCATCAGTTAATAAAAGAAGATGTGCAAAATGTTCATTCTCATTAGAGAACACTTTAGATGAGACAAGAAGCTCAAGGTATTTATAGGTTAATTTCCCTTTGCTAAATACAATTTCTGCTATCAACATCTTTCTAAAAATCCATGATATGTCCTTAGAGATGGAACTGCCCCAGCCATATGAAATTGGTTATTAGGTAACCCAAACACAACTCTGTATTTAGCAACAAACTATTATCCTCAATATCCACTAAACTTAGCCACATATTGTGCCACAAATATGTACAAACAGTAATATTTCACAATACTGATCCCACAGTGGAAAAGAACAGAACATATGTATTACAGAATTTACTCTTGTAAATTATCCCCTGCACAAAAAGATCTTTTTGTTGATTTTGTACTTTAACTGAAAAGAATCGATTTCATTAATTAAAAATATTAATATGAAGATGATTACATCTTTTACACTTCAGAACTTTTATGTGGAAGTTCCTTCCATCACAAAGTTACAATTAGGCATTTGAAGAAATACTGCAAAGGGAGACACAAATATCATTCTTTACAGTATCAAAGAATAATAATATCTAAGGCCAAAACAACTTCCCAGTCAGGTTAATTCCCCCAGCAAGTACACCACATTAAGTCATCCCAATGAAACTGATATACAGCTGGATCTGACAACACTTCATCAGCACAAACCAGGAAAACACACTCTAAAATTTGAGGGAAAGTCTTCACTTTTCCAAAAAGAAGAAAAAGAAAAAAAAAGCTCAGACCAGCACACTGAAATTCAATAATCAAGGAGTTTCTCCTATGGGAAGAAAAAATATTCTGCAAATTTTGGGTGTGCTTTTTCAAAAAGCAGCTGGAAAGAGCATGTAGTAATCACAAATGAAGTTTCATCCAAATTTCAGGGGGGTTTGCTCTCGCTTTTCCAAGAGGGAACAAGAGAACTGCTGGTAGCTGAATTTACCTGCCCAGTTTACACACTGCATGCCCTCCATTCTCAGGTTCCAATCTTGGCAGTTCCAACCCACTAGAATTATGCAATATTTTTGGAAAGCCTCACAATTTGATATGGCTTAAAAACTTATACTATGAAGCCCTGGTCAGGCAACAACAGTGTTCTAACATTTACAGAATAAAAAAAAAATAATTGAAAACTTCCCACTTCACTTCTTTATAGTGTAAAAAAAACAAACCACTGAATATTTTTTCCACTGCACTCAACACACATTAACAACCACACAGACAGCACTTTTTTTTTTACATCATCCTTTTAACCCTTCAAAAGTGACCAAAAAGTGGTGAATTGCCTTGTGAAATGGGACAATAGACATTTTAAACTGTAAAAGAGGTACAAAAACATTAATAAATCTGCCCAAGTTTGTACCTACAAAGTCTACAAACACACTCATACTTCCTGCCTTTGCAACACTGGTTTAAAAAGTGCTTCCTTCTACCTCATAGAGGATATAAAACCAAATACCCTCTGTACTGACTTCTCACAAATAGTGTTCTAAAGTCTGTAAAATCTGCAAACATCTATTTCTAGGTCCCCACATTTATTATACATATATTGTACTAAATATAAAGCAGACTTCACTTCCCTTTCAAACACCTGCCAGGTAACCCAGCCAACTGGAATCTGAAGCAAGGACTGTACCAAGTAAGATTTCTCAAAGTCTTTCAGGGAAAAAACTTCCTCCATACTGGGGGGGTGGGGGGAGTGTGGAAATCTATCCAGATAATCCAATATACCAAGAGGTAGTATTGTTGTTCCAACAACTAAACTATTTTAGAGGGCTGTTTCCATTCCAGAAACCAGGGCCATCTATCTGTACTTCATTACCTAAGAGTTTAGATTGAGCAAATTAATAAAGACTGTGGTCTCAGAAAAACAACAGGGTTTTTTCAAATCAGTATCTGCTGCTTACAGGACAACTATTTGAGAGCTACAGCCAAAAAAACCCACACAAAAATATTAAAAAAAGGAAGAGATGCATCTTTAAATACATCAGCTTTGCAGGGACAGTGTCCTACTTGTGGGAGCTGACAGCTCAAGAACTGTCTTACACACAGACATGCACTTGCAGGCAAGTGCAGCTCTACTGCATTTTCACTTGCTCTGTCAGCAAAGAGAGGCAGAAGAGGGTGTATGCACATGTATTGGTTTTTGTATGAGATCACAGGAGAATTCAAACTGAAAGCAACTCCAGAAAGCCTCTAGTCCAACCTCCCACTCAAAGCAGGGTCAGCTATGGCAACAGGCCAGGTTTTCCAGTGTTTTATCCACCCCAGACTTGAAAAACTCCCATGCTGGAGACTCCACAAACTCTTCAGGCAACCTGATCCACTGCTTGACTGTCCCAACAGGAAAAAGATTCTCCTTGAGCCTAGTCTGAATATCTCATTTCAGTTTGTGCCTTTTGTCTTGGTTGTTTTGTTCTCTAACTACCTGTAGGGTTTGGCTAAGGCTGGTTAATGACAGCCCTGTAGGTATTGGAAGGCTGATAGTGGGATTTCTGAAGCCCTTTCCAAGCTAAAGAAGTCATTTCCTCCCTCCCTCTTCATAGGTCATACACTCCTCCAGCCCCTGAACATTTCCCATACTTAATAAATTTCTATTTTGTAATTTTCAATCCCATCTTATTTATTATCTGCTGACAGATGATCAGTTTTGATTAGAGCTGCAGTTCATGGCTTGCTTCAGCGAATTTAAAAGGAACAAGTGGTACAAGTTCTTTATGCAAGATGATCACCTGCAACAGCATAACTGCTGTGCTTGATAAAGGAGCAATAGAGCAAAACTAAACATGCTCATTGACAGCCTGTCTTGTCTTTGCTGACCAGTTTGACCAGGCTTTCTTCTACTCTGTCACAGTACATGACAAATGACACCAGTGATCCAAACACCCTCTGCAAAAACTTCATTTAAACCTTCATTTAAAACTACTTTAAAGCAATAAGTAGTCAAGGTACATCGATGACGTCTCAAAAGTTTACAGAACATAAATGAAGCACCAGATGCCAGGAGTTCAATTTCAGCAACTACTACACAGGTGAAAATTAAAGACCTGCAAAAGTACCTCAGAAAACAGAAACATACTTTACTGTATTTTTTCTTACACCCTCTAGAAGCCTTTCTTGTTTAACATTTTAACTAGTCAAGACCATTAAATGACAGCAAGCTTTCAGAAAAATGGAGAAAAAAATTAAAACCCTTTTAAAGGCTATTTCTCAGCAAGTGTTCTCAATTTGTCACTTGCAGAAAGACTGAGCTAAGCAATAGCAATGCTCTTCAATTTGGCTTTTGTTAAAAAATAATAAAGAGATTTCATGTAAGTTCAGCAAGTTTATTTTCTTTGAAGTATGTATTTCTGCATGCAAATGAGCAGAATGCATACAGATTATATATAGCAAGAATTTTAAAAACATCCACCACTCCCTTATGCAATAGAAAGCCAACTAAAAAAAAAATCCCATAGACTATCATTACAACCCTTGACACCCTAATAATAGCACAACAGTAGATTTTCTGTCACAAGGTATTTGGGTTTGTATTATTAATTCATTTTGTATTACTAGTTCACTTGAAATACAGTCCTGTTTTCATTGCTGCTGTAACTGCTAAATTTTGATATTAACTTTCTTCTGTATATGGCACCACAAAAGTTTACATGTATTTAAACTTGACCTGGGTCTACCTGGTGTACAGATAATAAATCAAATCCTGGAAAATTCAGGATAAATTCTATTCTTCCTGAAAACATCGAGCAACTCAGCTGCAGAGCTTGTGACATGGCCATGCCTGACAATCCAAAACTAGACAGGAACTCCAGCACTGAGATGCAGCCCTTCCCTGTGAAAAGGCTGGCCAGGTCTGACACAAACTATACACTGAAGAGTCACTGATATTTTTTTGATACTATTAAGCTATTTTTACATATTAATTTTTGTTACCTGATTACATAACCAACTATCTCTAGTAACAGAAGACGTTATAAAAAGTTTTATTGCTCTATTTTGGACGTTTTCCTTATCCTGCAATTCAGTTACAGAATCAGTAGGCAGAAAACCCAGTCTACAGCAATAGGTAAGAACAAGAATAGTTCTATAAACCAAGTCCTTTAGAGTCCATTTATTAAGACAAACACTCTTCCTATAATTAAAATCAAAGCTCTACAAATAAAAAGTTTGACCCAACTTTATATACAGAGCACATAAACTGGAGCAGACATGTCAATAATACACAGACTTCCCTCTCACATCACTTGGAGTTAACAGGATCAGATATTTACAGGAACATGCTAAGCTCTCCAGGAATGCAACAGAAAAGCAGCTACACACCTCTACATTTCCCAGCCCTAATAAATCAGAGAGCAGCTAAGAAAAAACTTCTAAGCAGAAGCATCAACTACTTCTGTCACCTACTTTAACAAAACCAGGGATTTTTCAAATTCAGCTAGCAAGGCCAGCACACATCAACAGATTAGCCCACTTGCTTTAATAAAATTTTTACTAACAACTTTTTTCATCAGAACAGCTCCTTTCACAATACACATGCTGTCCAGCATAGTCCTTGTGCCCACAATTTCCATTTTATAGTCTTTGAATTCACAATAGGCCTGGCTGGTTGCAAGAGTCACAGGTTTAAGCACTTAATTCCTCCAGCTGTTTAATAAAAACACAACCGTATCTGCCTATCCCATGAACTCCAATTCAGGATGCAGGTTTGGGTTTTTTTTTTGAATCAGTTTTGTGAACCTGTCAAGTGTGACAACTGAACACAAAACAACTCCCCTTGCATGCCTTCAAATGAAGACAAAAGAAGTCTTTGATCATGAAGTTTGCCTCACTGACACACCGATCACCTCGGCCCTGACACTGAATTCCACACTGCTCCAGAAAGGCTCTTTGCTCCCTACAGCTGCACAAGCCACCAAGAGCAAATAAACACAAACCCATAGGAAAGTTAAGCTCGATTTCTGAACTGAGAATATTTTCCTAACATTTTTAACAGACTTAGGTGGAAATTCATAAAGTTCACGTGTGGAAATTGTCAAATAATAGATTCGCTGTTTTTTTATAATCAATTATCAAAGCACACAAACAACACAAAATAATTATGCTCTCAGCAAACACTACCCAATGTCTTCCATACCATTTTTGCAAATAGTCCAGTGCCTCCAAACGAGCACCAATCTCAAATGTGATTCCAGGACGATTTGGAGGCTTTTTACTCATCTTGATATTGTCTTTTTCACCACCTTGGATGGAAAGAAAAAAGTTTCATTAAAACACATTACGTTGTTTAAAATGTGTCATTGACAGCAAATATATTCCAGAGGGTAAAAAGATGCAAAATTCTGATCCTGACTTTGTATTAACTGCTTAGCTTACAGAAATACAGGGAGGGCCCAAAAAAAAGCATAAAAAACCTTCATACATACTTTTATTCAGATTTCTTTCGTTTCAAAAACATCTGTTACCAACCTTAAATCAAAAAATAATAAGAAAAAACCATAGTGCTCATCCCTGGAGTTCTACTAGACTGTAATTCCTTTTAAAATCTGCATTTGTAAGCAAAATTTTAATATACCTATAGTTAACATGTGTACTCTCCTCGGGTGAGGAAAAGGCAAACTAAGAAGAACTTACCTTATCAAGAACAGATAAACATGGCTTAAAGGGCAAGTAAGATTAAACGAGCACAAACAAAAAATAAACAAAACCTCATCTTGAGTATTCCTATGCACTCATAGTGGCATTCATAGCACTGAGTTCCAGCACAACTGGCTTCTAATTTTATTTTGCAGCTCAGTCGGTATCAATAAGAAAAAAAAACTAAAAACCTCTCCATGCAACTACTGTCGCTACCACCGCGACTTTCTGCGGTGTTCCCTGCACCACCCCAAGCCCACTTGCCGAGCGGCAGTGCCGGGATGCGGGGTCGAAGCCTCGCAGCCCCGCACTGCGGGGGGAGCGACACCCGGCCCCCGTTCTGCAGCGGGGCTCCCGTGCGAGCTCCGCCAGCGCGGAGAGGCGAAGGGCGCAGCGCAGCCGGGCCGGGAGCGGCGGGGCCGCGGCCGCAGCGCTCGGCACAGCCGGGGAGGCCCCGCCGGACCCCCGGCCGCGGGCGGGGCCCGGCGCGAGCAGAGCCGCGGGCGCCGCCCCGCCAGGCCCGGCCGGCGTGCGGGGAGCGCCGGAGCCCCGCCGCCCGCGCTCCCTCGGCATTCCCTCCTCTCTCCCACCGCGGTGCCGGCCCTTACCGCCCGCTCGGCTCGCTCGGGGCCCGGCGCGGCTGCCGCGGGCTGTCCGGCACGGCCGCCCCTCACCGCCCCATCCTGCCCGCGCCCCGCGCGCGTCACCGCCGCGCGACGCGCCCCGCCCCCGGCACGTGACTGCGCAGGGGCGGGGGGCGAGGCAGACAAAGAGCGGCGGCCGCGGCCCGGGACAGCGACACCGGGACAGCGATACGGGCGCGTCGACACTGCCTCACACTGCCACAGAAACAGCGGGCAGCGGAGGGGGGTGTCCGGCGGAGGGAAAGGAAGGTGTTTAATCAAGGCACTGGGGCATTTCTCGCCTTGGCAAGGGCTGAGGGAGTTGGGGTTGCTCAGCCCCAGAAGAGGCGGCTGAGAGGGAACCTCGTCCAGGAGTGTCTGAGGGAGGGGTCGAGAGCACGGATCCGGCTCTGCTCGGTGGTGCCGAGTACCAGAGGGAACGGGCAGAATGCACAGGGAGTTTCAGCTGAATAGGAAGAACTTTGTTGTGCAGTGACCCTGCACTGAAGCATTGCCTAAAGACGTGTGGAGTCTCTCCACTAATTCAAGTGGGCGCAATCCTGTGCAGTGTGTTCTAGAATGACCCTGCTTAAGCAAGAGGGTTGGACCAAATTACTGCTGTCCCTTCCAGCCTGACCAGTTCTGTCACTCTGGGATCTGTGATTCTATGATAGGGAGAAAAAGACTCGGGGCAGTCACTGAGATGGTCCTGGAGCTGCCACAGCCTGTGGCTGGTGGCCACAGGACACCCCTGGCCAGGCAAGAAGCCTGACAGTGGCCTGTCTTTGCCTCTGTTTTTTACCCATGAAACCACCTTCATCTGACCCACAGATTTTCTTGCTGTTATTCATCCCAGCCTCCCCCCATGCTGCTGAGGACTGGGTGGGTGCTTGGCAGCTGGTGAACAGCCCACTGCTGTCCCTGTGACACCCGGTGTTGTGGTGACTGCTGTGCTGCTTATCACTGTGTTCTGCTCTGCCTGAGAGACCTCTGATAAAGGCAATGACCGTGAGCCACGTCTGGCATTTGGCCCCTGCATTGCTGCCACCCCAGTGCTCAGGGAACAATCTCATGGAGTCTTTCCTTCTTCTCCAAGGCAGATGTTCCTAAGTTTGTGACAGCAAGATCAGCATCATTACATCCCCCTGGATGTGATCAGTAAAATAAATGTCAAGTTTCCACCAATTAATAAAAAGGCATAGTGTATTTCTGGAAGCTGCACATTCTGGATCACAGTCAGCTTGTCAGTCCTTTCCATTAAGTGACCTTTAAGAACTTTTTTGAGTGTATTGAGTTTGTGTGGCAAGACTTTGGTAATGGGGGACTCCTGTGAGAAGCTGCCAGAAGCTTCCCCCATGTCCACCAGAGCCAAAGTCAATTGGGTCGAAGACAGATCCACCAGTGGCCAGTGCTCAGGCTATCAGTGACAGTTTTGCCTTGGATGGTAACTGGTGAGTGATCTCAGGAGTGATCCTGGTGAGTGATCCTCAGGACTGACCTCTCCTCTTGCCCTAGAAGCCTTTTGTTATATTTACCTCCCCTGTCCATTTGGGGAGGCCAATGACAGATTGGCTTTGGTGGGCACCTGGTGTCCAGACAAGGTCACTAAACAGCAGCAGGACAGACAGGACAGTTTGTATGGTAGCCCTTGGACCTGTCCAGAGAGTACCAGCTGTGAGAAACCTGCTCTGTGCTCACCTGGAGCCTCTGGCAGAAAACACCTGGAAAGACCCAAGGTTGACCACTGGGATTCTGGAGCTGAGGGTATCAAGGGTCTGAGGTGTACCAGATGTTCACAGGAAGGGGCACCTCTACACATAATGCATCTGAATACATAATACATGGAATAAGGGGATAGGATTGATCACACAGAGGGCTCAGAGGAACTCCCAGTGTCCCTGAATGCTGAAAGAGTTCACCACTGAGCCAGGAGGCAGAGATTTCAGAGCATCAACTCAGGACGTGGCTCAAGCCCAAAAGTATAATAAAGAGCAGAAAGTGAAAGGCAGAATGCTCTTTTCACCAGTGTTTCCTCTTGTGTTGTGCAAAACCATCTGATGTGGAAAGCTGCTGAGTGGAGCACAAGTCATGGACCAAATTAATTGATTGCTCTTATATGGATGTTTGGGGGATGTCCCACAGACTAAGGGAATGACATCTGTGCATGTGTCACTGGACAAGGAGGGGGATCATGATTGATGGTGATGTTGATAACACACCAGTGTGGTGGCTGCTGCTGAATAACACTTCCACAGTGTCAGGCTCACTTTTTTTCCCCCACTCATCTTCCCTAGCAAGCAGGCAAGGGGTGGGCAAGAGACTGGGAGGGGCAGAACTAGGACAGTTGACCCAAACTGGCCAAAGGGATATTCCATGCCATAAAACATTCACTTCAGCAAGAAAATCTGGGACAGAAGAAGAAGAAGACTGTTGGGACATTTTCTTCCAAGGTGACCATTGCTGGGAGATGGAGGGATATAGGTCTGCTGGTGGGAAGTGCTGAGTCCTTGCCTTTGAATTGCTTGGGGGTTTTTTGGGGTTGGGTTGTTTAGTTTAGGGGTTTTTGCTTTCCTTCATTTATTAAACTGCCCTCATCCAGATCTGCAAACATTTCTGGGGGTGCTGGGTGACAGTGACTGAACACGAGCCAGCAGTGTGCTAAGGAGAACAATGGCATCCTGGCTTGTATCAGAAATAGTGTGGACAGCAGGACTGGGGAATGAGATTGTCTCTCTGTACTCAGCACTGGTGAGGCTGTATCTTGAATCCTGTGCTCAGTTTTGGGCCCCTCACTGCAAGAAAGACATTGAGGGGCTGAAATGTGTCCAGAGAGTGGCAGCAGAGCTGGGGAAGGATCTGGAGCACAAGTCTGATGAGGAGCAGCTGAGGGAGCTGGGGGTGCGCAGCCTGGAGAAATGGAGGCTCAGGGAGGACCTTATCACTCTCTACTCCCTGGAAGGAGGCTGTATCCAGGTGGAGTTGGTCTTTTTCCCCAGGCAGCAAGTGATAGGACTTGGAAAAGGCCTCAAGGTGTGCCAGGGGATGTTTAGATGGGATATTAGGAAAACATTCTTTACAGAAAGAGTGGTCAGGCATTGGAACAGGCTGCACATGGAAGTGGTGGAATCACCACCATTCCTCAAAGTGTTCAAAAACATATGTGGATGTGGCAGTGGGAGGCATGGGTTAGTGATGAACTAACCAGCAGCTTAATTGTCCAGCAGCTCAATTGTCTTAGAGTTCTTTTCCAACCTCAATGATTCTAGGATTCTCACTTTTGTTCTTCCCATTCTCTTCCCTATGCCACTGCTGGGGGAGGGAGTGAGTGGCTGTGTGGGCGTTTGGCTGCTGTTCAAGGTCAATCCATCTGCTTCATTTAGTCCCCAGGAGGCTGCCTCCCACTTGAGGAGTCTTTATAGACATAATGTTCAGTAGGATATTTTAGAGTATTTGCTATGATATTTTTTTTCCTCCCTAGATTTTCCCTTGTTACCATTTTCTGGAAGGTGGTGGCAAACAGAAGAGACTGAAGGAAGAAGGAGGCTTGAAGAAAAACAAAGGAAACAAAATAAGAAAACAAAGAGGGGAAGGGGAAGGGAAAGGGGAAGGGAAAGGGGAAGGGAAAGGGAAAGGGAAAGGGAAAGGGGAAAGGAAAGGAGGTTTTTCCTTTTTTTTAGTAAAAATGTTGCCATTGCATTTATTTGAATTCTCCAGCTCTTACTACTTTTGGTGTAATTTTGATGCAATCTTTGGTTTAGAGGGTTTGCCACAGGATAGTGAAGGTTGTTGTGTAAGGAATGAGATCTCTTTGAGTGGCAAAGAATTTGCAGCATCAGGATAGTTAGAAAAGTGGAGGTGCTTCTGTCCAAGGAGAGGGAATGGGGGAAAATAAAAGGCAGTGAGGATGGAGCTGGGTACATGGGAGTCACTGAATCATGCTCTTCACTGCTGAAGGCTGTTATGCCATGGTGTGGCTAGAGCAGTGTGTGGCACCCCATTTCTTTGCTGCTGAGGCTGTTGAGATGGAGGCAGAGCTGGCAGGAGGTGGCAGAGGCACAGCAAGCCCCTTGTATTGATTCATATGGACTAAAAGCACATCTGCAAGCACAGAAGAGCACAGACAATCCCATATAATCCCCAGCCCTGGCAGCTCCCAGGAGCAATCAGCCCATCAAGGGCCCATTTCCTCAAGCTCAGAGGAGCACAGGGACAAATGGCAGGTGGGAGTCTTGGAGGAAGGGACACCTGCTGCAGGGTGCCATGTGTGACTCCTACCACACTGCCTTCAGACCAGCAGAAGTCCATGTGTGGTCCAGCAGCACAGGGCAGCATTTCCTTGCACTATTATCAAAACATTTGGGAGAACAAAGAGCCCCAGCCACTGTCCCCATTTCTCTGCTGCCATTCCATGTATACCCATCCCCACCCTGCTGTAGCTCACAGGCACCCACAGCCCCTGCTGGCCCTGACTTGCCTCTCCTAGTGCCTCCCTAGCTCTGCCCATGGACCAGGACCCCATTTCAACTACACTACTCCACCATAAACCAGCAAGGAGCAATTTAGGCCAAGACATTTTGTATACTCTTTTAGCACAAAACCATATCTGATATTTAGTTTTGTCTCCTAGGAAAACAAGGCCTACATGGCTGCATTGCCTGTCTGCCTTCCATTTTCCCTTTCTTCACTTACTCCTAAAACTTCTATCTTACTTCAAGCTTGACACAGAGAGAGACACATCACGTTATTCCAGCTTTTCTGTTAAAATGCTCAACTGGACAGGGGAGGGTCACTGAGTCAACCTCTCCACGATGGAAAGACTCAGTGGTTATTTTCCTTCAGACACCAGAGCATGACAAGACAGAGATGCAAGAAAAGAGATTTTTCTATTTGTGCTCCTCACACAGTTTGGTGTTTAATCTTGTCACGAAACATGTCTTCAGCTTCGTCATGAATATACAGGCCATAAATTGGAAATCAAACTGGATGGGAGATTTTATATTGCCAGTCAGTGACTCACTGAGACTCGGAGAGGGGGAGAGAGGATTTCATAATCAGCTGAGCATGAGCTCATGATG